CCGAAGAATCCCTCCCTGATTCTGCCCAGGCCTGGAAGTCACCCAGGCCTCCTGGGTCTTCACCAGCTCGGGGAATCACCCGGCTCTGGGACCCTGGGGTTCCTCCCTTGGGGAGCAGGGGTAATGCGGCCTCTGCCCAGGGAGGGTGTGAGGATGGAAGGAGCCGCACCCCATTATGGGCCAGCAGAGGGCCTGGCACATGCTCGACCCAGGGGACTCTGACTGTCCTTCTAGTTGGTTGGAAAGCCTGCCTCAAACCTCACACAAAACTCCCTGTTAACGACTGCCTCTGTCTCACTCAGTCATTCAATTATGCAGCATACGATGTCTCTCAAAGGACGGCTGGGGTTGAGTAGTGTTGCTAGATGCAGCAAATAAAAATATACAATGCCCAGTTAAATATGAGCTTCAGATAAACAATGAATTATTTTTTTGGCGTAATACGTTCTGAATAGGACATACACTATTGGGACAGGCAGACACTAAAACATTAATGGTTGTCTATCAGAACTCCAATTCTAACTGAGCATTGTTGCGTCTGGCAATCCTAGCTTTAAGGAGTGGCCACTGGGCTCTGCCTTCCGCTGTTGGTGTCCCCTCCCCAGGGCATTTCCCAGAGGAAGTTCCGTGCACAGCTGAGAGAGGAAAACTTCCGTTTTGTACACGGGCTGGGTTGGTTCAGAGGGACTCCTGGCCCTTGGCAATGACCTCTTGTCGCTGGCGGTTTTGAGAGTTCCTGGAGAGGTGTTTTCAGTTGCTCCCTGAACAGTCTGCAAGCTCCAGTCACCCACGATGTCCTCTCCATCTCCAGTCCCTCCTCGCTCGTGTCTGCTGTCAGCATGGTGACTTGGGAAGGCAGTGTCCTCACTGAGGTCACTTTTTCCAGGAGCGGCTGCTAAGCCCAAGTCGGCGACGCGCAGGGGGGCTGACTTCTGTGCAAAGCAGCCCCCTTGCCAACCCTTCCCACCTCTGGCCCAGGTACCGCACCTCTGAGACCCTCAGGAGCGGTGTCAGCACCCGGCTCTTAGTCTCTTCTCACCCGGTGCCCGCCCATCCCGGAAGTCCCCGGGCCAGCACTAAGTCTTCACCAGGAGGCTTCAAACATCACCATCATAGTAAGGACATTTTATTTTTAAAAACAAAAATTATCACTTAAAAATATATATATCGTCCATATTTCAATTTTCTTCTCTAGAAACTTTAATTCCAAAAATGGCGGGAACATAAACGGACACAGAGGACCGCAGTGACTTGCAGAAAGCGCAGGACAGGACCTGACCCTGTGACGACTTTTACTCTAGAATCAGGTGTGGGTTGAGCGCCTTGGCCCGCAGAATGTTCATCTCCTCCAGCACCTTTTCTCCGGGCTTCTCCGTCGGAGGTGCTTGGTCTCTCACCTCTCTAAACACAAAACCCAACAGGGACACATCAGGGCGTGTCACGGGACACTCAGGTCACCCACCAACGCCCTGCTGCAGGACCAGCACTGCCAGGGGCACCTCAGGGAAGGCTGGAGGAGTTGTTTACATAGATATATATAAAGAAGGTTTTCACTGTATTTAGCGATAATTTAGTTACCAGTGGAAACACTTCGCTAGTAAGTGATTCAAACCGGCTTCCACACTCAGCCGCACCAGTGTTCTCAGTGCGGCCCAGTTACCCAGCTTTCAGTCTCCGTGTCCAGAGGTACGAATGGTGGCAATTCCCGTCTCCCAGGATTGTTGCGAAGATGAAACGAGAAGTTATTCATAGACCTCCTAGCGTGATGTCCTCTCAATGCTCAGGCAGCATCAGCTGACTCTTCACATTTGTGAATAAAGCAGACACACAGTATCTCTGACTCTGACAACGGCTCCAGAAGGGTGGGAATCAAGAGGGAGGTTATGCACCTGGATCAAGCAGTGGTTGACATGGAGCCCAAACCTTTGCCTGGTGTGCAAGGGGTTGCTGGGTAGAACTTTCCAAAATTCTGGGAGGAAACAAGGAGAGCATTTGATGGAAAGGACAGATGTCTAAAGACGGGGAGCACAGCTACCTGATCTGCCTGCATGGGAGACACAATGTAAGATCCAGGGCTTCTGAACCATTCTCTGAAGAGGGTGAAATGGTAAGTTCCGGCAAGTGCCTGGCAGTTTTGAAAAAGCAGAAATATCTGAAAACAGAATTAAAATGTTCCCTAATGCATATAATTAAAAAATTAATTGGTACTAGTTTATGGAATTGATTTCAAAATATATATGGGATCATTTCTTCCTCTAAAGACATTAATGATTGAGTGATACTGTGACGTTCTGAGGAGTGAGGATGGTGTGTCAGCAGCTAACGTCATTCTCAGTTTCTTGGACATTTGGCAGCAGGAGTACCCTGAGTGGGTCTCCAGGGCGCTGAGGCCACCACCAGGGCAGCAGAGAATCTCAGGTTAATCATAGCCAAGAGAGAGGAGATAATTCTTTGTATCCATGGAAATAAATATTTTCCAAAAACCAGATGGACAGCAGCCTTCATGGGAGAAATTAAACACTGATGCGTCCTTTTTGCCCTGTCCCTGTCTAGCCAAGCTCTGGTAGTGTGCGCCTCTGTGAGCGAGGACTCCGTCAGCTTCTGGCTGAGGCTGAAGGAGGTGAGGAGAAGGAACTCGTAAGGACAGAGGACAAAATCTAGTATCAGATAATGCTTGATATGAGCTGGAGAGAATTTCAGAACCAAATCACTTCTGAAAATCATCTGTGTTTGAAAATCATCAACTGGTTGGAATATTATTTAGCCAATAAAATGATAATTAGGTTGACCATTTTGACATATGAAAATGTACATAAAATAATTTAAACTGAAAAACAGGTGAATTCAACATGCCATAGATATGATTCCTGAAAATGTGTATTTTGAAACAATTGGAAACTAATTTGATGTGCAGAAAATGTTTAGAGTTCATTGTTAGTATTTTTGTAAAGTAGCTGAAATATATTAAAAAAGAAAAATGATAAACCACTTTGGGTGAAAATATGAAGTAATAACTTCTATTTCATTTAATAATAATGTGATAACCAAGTGCCATTCATTATTAGCTCTGTAGTATAAAGGGTGAAAAAGCACGTTAAAGGGCAAGGGAACAGAGAAGTAGTGGATATTACCCCGCTCACAGGCAAGCCCTTCTATGCCCAGGGGGCATTTTTGAGATAGAAACAAAAGGCTTTTATTTAAAACTCTTAGGCAACTGCTTGAAATCTGAAATAAGATGCAAATCGCATCTGTTTGTGGAGGTGTCAGGTTCTACGTGCTGTGTCTTGTAACATGATATTTTATCAAAACAGATGCTCACTGAAATTCTGCTTAAAATTTTTATTTCCTAAATTTTCTTTCACCAGAAACTGCCAACCTATTTTCTCACAAGTGCTGGAGGCTGTAGGACTCTGACACTGTCACAAACAGACCGAAGGACCCCACACCCCTCCAAGACACTCCTTTCAGAAAAGGCAGGGCCTCCCAAAGCACCTCAGCCAAGTCAAAGACAAACTCAGAAAGTGACAACGCTGATTCTCCTTAATATATGAGGGACTCTTGCAAATAAACAAGAAAAAGATAAACACTTCCTACAAAATAGGCAGAACCCCTCATAAAAAAAGAAAAATAGCTCATAAGCATAGGAAAAATCTTAACATCACTTCTAAACAGAGAATTTAAAAGAGTAAGATGGTCATTTTTTCATCTATCATATTGGTAAAGAAGAAAAAACAATGATAGCATTCTGTGTTGTTCGGGGCATTTGAATGTGGGCAGTCCTGACCTCTGCTGGTGGGAGGTGTGTTGATGGACTTCCTGGATGGCAATGAAGCAGTATATTTTAAAACCCTAAAATGCACATTGATCTAGCATTTACGTTTCTAGGAATTTATTCTAAGGAAACAGTCTGATAAGTTTGCAACGAATTATGGCCCAAGGATGTTGGTTGCAGCACTTTTGGGACGAGCAAAATGCTGAAAAGGGTTTACGTGATCATCAGTAGAGGGTTGGTTAGGTAAATTACGGTCCATCTATCAGTGAATTATAATGATGTTTATCTGCATTTATAAATATATGTTTATGACGTATTGCTAAATAAAAGCGTAGAGGACAAAGCAATACATATAATATCATTGAATTTTGTTCAACTATATATAAATTGAAAAATACATATATATAAATAGATACTTGGAAGACCATACATCAAAATGTACAAGTTATTGTTTCTGAGTGATAGGATTATTGTTTTTATTTTATTCCTTATAGTTTTCCATATTTTCTGATTTTTTAATAATAAAAAAGGCATTTTTTTAAAAGAAAAGGAATTTTAAAAAGTATACTTGAATTTCAAACTTATAAACCATATGAACTATAGATGGTTATTTACATTACAACAGTATTCTTTACAACCCGTTTTTTGAAGGAGGGGGAGGATGACGTCTGTTTAGCTGCTTGGCCCCTGATGGAGAGGCGGAGGGAAGAACGAACATTTGCTGAGCAGCTATTTCACATCAAGCAACTGGCTTGATGTCTTCACACTGGCATCTCGTTTCATCCTCACGACCACCCGTGAGAGAGATTTTATTTTCTGCCTGTTACAGTGAGAAACCGAGGCCCCGTTACCGAAGGTAAGTAACATGGCTGGAGATCTCACGTGTAATAAATGATGGAGCTGGGATTCAGCCCCAGGTCTCATCTGGCTCCAGAGCCTGGGTTCCTGACACTGAATGAAACTCGTTCAGCTGTTAATAAGAAACAAACACATCTCCGAAATTAAATGACAAGGCGATGGGAAAATTGGATTCAGTTTTTAAATGTTTACTTGCCAACATTTGAGAGAGCATAACTGTGCGTAAATACACATCTAAATATCTAAAGCATCAGAAATGTGTTTCTTTCGACACGTTTTTAGGTTCAGACAATACGACAGTTCTGTTTGTCACGTAGGACAGATTTTACCCAAGGTCACCTCTTACTGAGGCATAAAAGCATCCACTTACTTCTGCTTCTTGGTGTCCTTGGAGTCCAACAGGGGGAATTCCGCTTCGATCATTTCTGGAGTCAATGTAATTTCTATATTCTGTTCACAGAGCTCACTGAAAAGGAATAAGATGTTTAGCTGGAATGGTTTTTCCTTCCCAGAATAAAACAGAGAAATATTGTCACTGTTTAAGAGTTACGCAATTCTTGTGGCTTTCAAGGTCAGTTCCACCTACTCTGTTGAGTCTATGTTAAGAGAAGCATGAGGCTGTATATTGTTTCCATCAACAAACAGTGGTAGGAATGGTTTTTTTCTTTTCTTTTTTTTTTTCCAGGATGATTAGCCCTGAGCTAACATCTGCTGCCAATCCTCCTTTTTTCACTGAGGAAGACTGGCCCTGAGCTAACATCCTTGCCCATCTTCCTCTACTTTATATGTGGGATGCCTACCACAGCATGGCGTGCCAAGCAGTGCCACGTCCGCACCCGGGATCCGAACCAGCGAACCCCGGGCCTCCGAAGCGAGCGTGCCACCTAACCGCTGGGCCAAGGGCCCGCCCAGGAATAGTTATTTATAACCAGAGAATAAAAAGCAATTTTTAAAATGGGGTTACAGAATTCATATTCTTTTCCAGTGCACACAGAAGATTTACCAATATTGGCTCTATCTTGGACCATAAAGAAAGCCCGAATGAATTCAAAAGACTGAAATCCTTCAGCGTATGTTCTACGGCCACAACGGAATTCAAACAAAAACCAGCAGTAAAGAAGATAACTAAAAAAACCCACAACTGCTTTAAAAATTAAATGATCTATTTCTAGATAATCTATGGATGAAAGAAGAAATGAAAAGGATCCAGGCAATTTTCATCTTCCGGCGGCCTGCTGTCCCCAGAGCAGGGGCACACTTTTCCGCCAAGGGCGTGGCCGTCATCTGGTCTCTCACAACTGCTCAGCTTGGCTGTTGCAGCAGAAGAGGAGTCACAGAGGACACGTAAGCGAACGGTGACGATCAAACCCTGTTTAAGAACAGCCGGCAGGCCAGGTTCGGCCGTGGGCCGTGGTCGCCGGGCCCAGCTGCTCGGTGGCCGGGCTGCAGCGGAGCGGAGCAGGCAGGGAGGGTGCCAGGGCGCCTGCTCGCTGCATCCGGGTCCCGGCCTCAGGACGACGGCTCGGTCTGTCACCCCCTCTCACAAGGGCCTGGCCAAACGGGGACTTCACTGCAAGGGCGGCTGGGAGATCCGGCCTCCAGTCTCAACAACTGCGTCGCTTCCGAGGCGGCGGCGGCATTTCGACGGCAGCAGCTCCGCCCGCTCGATTCAAGAGAAGCGCTTCCGAAGCAGAGGCGCCCAGCGTGGGTTCCAGCAGGAGCCCCGCACGCGGACACACAGCGAGGCGGGCGGGCGGCCTCCGGGCGGGGAAACGCCCGTGCAAACAGTGAAGAGCCGTCCCGGTGCCACACGGCGCGGCAGCCGCTGGACCATCACCGCCCGCTGCTCCGCGGACACTGTCTTCCCACCGGCGCGTCCTCGCCCTGAGGGGGCGCGGGGTCCTCCCCTGAGGGGGCGCGGGCCCTGGGCGCGGGGTCCTTGTCCCTGAGGGGGCGCGGCCCTGGGCGCGGGGTCCTCCCCTGCGGTGGCGCGGGGGTCATGGCGCGGGCTGAGGCGAGACCGCCGAGGCCCCGCCGGTTTCCCGCGAGCGCTCCGTCCGCGTCGCCCCTCTGGTGACCGCCCGGCTCGCCGGTCTCCACGAGCTCCCCTGACTGACAGCCCCTGTGCCGGGGGCAACAGTTCCCGCCGTAGAGACGAGAACCCGGAGTCACCGCGGTCCGCACCCGAGCGCCGAAGGGACGAGGGCAGCCGGGTTCCGGGCAGCCGGGCGGCTCCCCGGCGGCCCCAGCAGACAGGACTGTCCCTCGAGCCTCACGGAACCGGGCGCGTCCTGCCCCGGGGCGGCCTCGCGGGGAAGCGCCTCAGGCGGCGGCGAGAGGACAGACGCTCGGCCTCCCTCTCAGCCCGGGACTCCGAGCTCTGCCGCGCGAGGGTCACCAAGGACGGTGCCCGTGGGCGGGTCCCACAAACCCGGGTGTGCGCCTCAGATGGTGAGGATCTCACTCACGCACTGTGCGCGTGGAACGACGTGGAAGCGCGCACGGCGACTGCAGGCCCAAGGACGCGCGTCCACCGGCTGTCCGACGTTCACCGTCAAATCAACGCAAGCGCTGCGCTCTGGGGCCGGATTCTCCACGCCCCTCCAAGCCCCGCCCACCGCGCAAGCCCCGCCCCCGCCCCCGACCGGGAGACCCCTCGGCCCCTCCAGTGCCCCCTCCGCGCAGCCCCGCCACCGCCCCGCCCCGCCCCGCCCCTGAGACCTGGAGGCTCCTCGGCCCCTTCAGCGTCCCCTCCGCCTCGCCCCGTCCCTGAGACCAGAAGGCTCCTCGGCCCCTTCAGCGCCCCTTCCGCCCAGCCCTCGAGTTCCCGGAGCCGGCAGCCCGGCGCGCGCGAGCCCAGCGTCCCCTCGGTCGGGCGGCGGGCTCAGGCGCCGGCTCTGCGAGGCCCTCAGCCCCGCGCGCTGCCGGGAAGCGGACCGCGTCCAGCCCGATGGTCGCAGGTACCGTTCGGCGGCTTCCAGTCTGTCCTCCTCGGGCAGGGCGTCCAGCGTGGCGGGCACGTGCGCGGGCAGCAGGGCCACCTCGAAGGGGTCGCAGCTGTGGGAGGACACAGGCGGCCCGGTGAGCGGCTCGTCCGCAGTCCCGGCCCTCACCCGGCCTCCCGACGCGCCGGCTCCGCCCGGGGAGGCCCAGCCCTGGCGCCCTCCGGAGCCGCTCGGCGCCCCGCGGGCGGAGGACGGGGAGCCGCTCAGCTCCGGGCCCGTCGCCGGCGAGGCCTCTCCCGGAGTCTGGGCGGGAGGTTGGGCGCGTGGTGTCTGAAGTTAGGTTACTTCCGGGGGAGTCGTCAGACGGCCCACTTTCTGTGCCTAACCCATTCCCCGCGTGTCCTCCTCAGTTCTGTGTGACTTCAGCCTTCCTCCCTACCCCCTTATGTATTGTTTGGTGTTATAAACTCAGAGCTTTCTAGAAAAATTCCTGGCTGTTGAGGACAGTAAAAGAATTCAGATAGGGAGAAAAAATATATTGTCATTTTAACAGTTGGCGGCCGACTTCTGTTCCGAGATGGTGGAACAAGCACTCGCTCTTTTTTTTTTCTTTTGGTCTCGACTCCTTATAAACCTTTGCAATGATATTAAAGGAATAAAAACTGAACGCACAACAGCGAAGAACAGGAGAAAAGACATAAATGGATGCAAGTTTCCAACAGTCTTCCTGGACGCCGGGGAGAGTCGTCTCCTGGAAGAGGAAAGAAGGACGGAGCGCGGCCGCGCGGGAGGGACCGGCCTCCTCGGGCCGGCGGGGCGGCGGACGGGCGGGCGGGGCGGGAACGGACGCCGCGGGGCCCAGCGAAGCCGCCTGCGTGCGCACGTGTCTGCGGGACACGTTTCCTCTGGTTCTTTTCTTGTGCAAATATGCACCTGCTCGCCAGGTATGGAGACTGGCTGAATAAAACTCTGGCACGCGGCGTTTACAGCCATAAAAGAGAGGGCGGGAGGAACCTATGCTCTGATATGGGGTGACTTTCAGGAGAGAATGTAAGTGGAAAAGCAGAGTGCACAAGAGCATACCTAGTGCGCCACTTTTTGTACAAGAAAAGGGAAAAGAAGAAAAATACATGTATTCTGCTTAGCATTACAAAGAGAAACACAGGGAGGATGTTAGAGGACCAAGCTGTGGCGGGACAAGGGGCGGGAGGGAGATGGGGCGGAGTGACACTTCGCTGAGCTGCCTTTCTGTGTAGCTTTGAGCTTGGAAAGCATGTTAATGTTCTCCATATTCAAAAAATAAAATCAGTGAGAAAGTGAAGAAAAAATCCCAAACTGAAAGCAAACTGAAACAATATTTCACATGAATTCCATCATCACACCGGAGGGAAAGAGAGAGAAAAAGAAACAAGGAAGGAAGGATGGGTGGAAGGAAGGAAGGAAAGAAGGAAGAGAAGTAATGCAAGTAACTTATAAATACAGTATTTGACTACATATTCAGTCTAGGATGGCATGGGGGTAGGGGAAAGCTGCAAATAAATCTGAACTCTGTTTATTATGCTTGTTTATTAAAGTGGTTATAGGTGAAGGGATTCTGAAACCATTTTAGATGTACTATAACATTCAGTAAATGTGTTAGGAGCCAGGGTCCTCCCCATGGGAGAAGGGGCACAAATATGGAATGGGGGCGAGCAAGCAATAACTCTGTGGACGTTGACTGGAATTATAAGCATTGATGTGAATTCATGGTTTATGAAATATGTACATGTATGTGTACATGTGTGGCCATGTGCACATGTATCTGCACATATGTGTACAGTCAGGTGTCGCTTAACGAGGGGATATGTTCTGAGAAATGCATCGTTACACGATTTCATCATTGTGCAAACGTCAGGGTGTACTTGCACAAACCTGGATGGCATAGCCCACGACACACCTAGGCTATACGCTACTAATCTCATGGGACCAGCGTCATATACGCGGTCCATCGCTGACTGAAACGTTATTATGCAGCACATGACTGTATTCATGTATGTGTGCATGTATTTTGGTATGTACACGTATATATGTGTGTGTGTGTGTGTGTATATTTATACATATTTCCCCACATACACTCCTGGCTTGTCTGCTGAGGAGGCCAAGGAACAAAACCCCCTGCTAGCTATGTGTACACCTGGCACCCAGATTTTGGTCTTTAACACCATTCCTCACTAAAAGGAGCCTGGGCTCCACCACCCAGAGATTAGTCCCATTTACTGACGTCATGACAAAGAATGCAGGTTCTAACTGCCAATCCCTGAAACTTCAGAAGGCCTGCAGCCAGAGGAGAGGGGCTTCCTGCCGAGAAGAGAAGAAGGACTGAGAAGTTGAAAGGCTGGACTTCTCTCCAGAGACCAGGCTGGTCCGGGAAGACGGAATGGCAACAACCAAGAGCCTTTCATGAGATAAAACATCCCATTTTTAAATTCTGAGACCCTATTCCTCTCGTTTTTTGTGTGTTCATATGTTGTTCTGAAATGGAAATGGTGGCGACAATAGATGGTGGTTGGGCATTCCTGGACATTTTACTAGTTGATAAAATCTGGAAGTCTGGGAACTACTGGGTTAGACCGTGTCTGCAGTTGCTGCTGCCTCTCAGATTTTATGGAAGTCCTGGAGACTCAATCGGGTCTCTGAATTTGTTAAACAGCAAAGAAACTAAGTGAGCTGTTTTGATTGTTATGAATACAAAAATGACTTGGAGTAAATAAATACTAAATAACCATATTGCATGGTTTAACGATAAACAGCTAAGTCTCAGGGACAAAAGACACGAGGGAAGTACCTCATAAGTAACAGGAAGTTTATTCAAGCAAAATGACTGCAAAGTTGAAGTATCATTGATGGACTTATAGGAACTTAAAAAAGGAATGCGATTATTATTTTGTAACTGCTTCTAGAAATAAAAACAGGATCTTGAATCTTACATCATGGAAATTCCTAAGGAAATATAGAACTCTCTCTTAATTTTATAATCTGCTATGCAATTATGGTTTATTTATAAATAAACTGGCCCACAGAGCACTCGGACACAGAAGCTGAAGGTAACAGCTCATGTTGGAGATTTTCTTTAGTTCATGCAGAATTTGCGGTTAATTTATGGTTAATTCAAGCCCAAGGTAACTGCATTCTGATTGCTTTTTGAAAGGACAGCCTTGGGAGATTTTTTTCCAAGGACATTGCTTTGGAAAAAAGGTAATTTTTTTTTTCTTAATTCTTGAGACCTGTGTGTGCTGATGGTTGGGGAACTCAGGTAGTCTCTGCTTTTCACCACTTCTCATTTTGCTTAGTCAGACGCCTGATGGTACCCTACAGCCAGCTATGTTTGATTCACCAATGATGTGAGTCAATTTTGAAGTGTCCTCAGCCCACAGCAAAATGAGGCAGTGTGTCAAGGTGGTGACGGACCATTGCCATCTGGTGGCAACAGAGAGATTGCAAGGTTTAGTGGGTGGGGTAGAGAGTAGAGGAGGAGAAGAGTTATTAAAGATGGCGCTAGATGCTTCACGTCATCATTTTACTTTAACCTCACAACAGCGGTGAGGATGCCATCACCACTCCCATTTCACAGACGAGCAAACTATTGCTCACAGGGCTTCAGTAAGAAGTAACTTGCCCAAGAACATGGAGCGGGTGGCACAGCTAGTGAGGAATGGAGGCAGGTCTCTGGACACCCAAGTGTTTGTTCTCTTTACAGAATCCCCTCTGACTCTGGAGATTTCAGATTTTAGAAATGTGCTAAAATGAAGAACAAAGATGCTCAGTTTATTTTGAGATGGCAGCGGGCTGGATGAGGTATGAATGAACTCATGGAAAAGGAACTAATATTTTTGAGCTGCCACCATATCCCCAATCCTGTGCCTGGTCTCAGGTTAATCTCCAGGCAAAGGAGGGTCATAGAGAAGCACTAAGGAAATAATCCAACGGGCAAGCGTCTGGAAGTGAGACTGGAATTTGCTTAAGTCAGGAAGAGCTTTTCTGCTGGCAATGAAGGAAGAAGTCAAATTAAGTGTTCTGGAGTCACACACTGGATTTCAACTGTCTCCTCAAATACTTGGGGAGAGGCGGGTAGATGGTAGTCTAAATGGAGTCGCTGCACATTGGGTGAGCTTTCCTGCTCCAACTAAAATTAAAATGTCAAGGCTGAGAAGGGTCTTCGCAACAAGTCCAATCCCCTTGTCTTCTGGACAAGAGGACTGGGCCCAGACAGGTGGCCGAGGAGCGTGCCAACGTCACACAGCTCCTGGAGGCCATGTGGCATTCTGGTGAGGGAGAGGAACTTGAGTTTCTGTGTCAGAGGATCCAGGACATGCTGGTGGGAATCGGGGGTATAAAGGTCACCTGCTGATCTTGGTTGGTGGTAGAGCTCAGGTTTCCTGACCACTCCTGGGGCCATGATAGGGCTCTGTCCCCTTGGGGTGGGCCTCATTCTGGATCAAAGGATTTGAACAAAAGGTGACTGCTGATGATAATCATTTTGGGGTACTAGTCACATTTTCTCACCAGTAACCCATTTAACTATGTTTATAAGGACAACAGACTAAAGAAGCAGATTCAAGGGCTTAGCAATGGCTTATGGACCAGGCAGAGTCCTAAAGAAAAGGCAGCAGTCTCCTTGTTTGATATCATAGGGCTTTGAAGAGGTTTTAAGCAAATTAGCAAAAATGTGGTTACTCTAAATTTCTTCTTTCCTTCGCCCAACAATATTCTCATCTACCCACTCTGTTTCTGGAGCTGAGTTCTAATGTCTGTGTATGATGACAGCCATGGGACCCACAGTGCATGCCTGGCTGTGGCATGAGAGAGAAGTGGATCCTCTGGAATTGGATATGGAGGGTGTAGAAGGTTGATCTTGGCAATTTATAAATGTTAAAAATTGACCATGAATATTTCAGCTGAATTGTATGGATTCATTGTCTATTTTTATTAAGTAAGGCCAACTAGTCACCTGTGACATTAATTTTTTAAAAAGTGTATCTCAAGATATATTGAAAATATGAAAATCAGTTATACATCATCATATTTCTCTGACTAGCAAACTTCCCTCATGCACTAAAAGTATAATTTGACCTATTGTTGGCATTTAACTTCTTGGGATCACAGCCTCTTTAATCCGTGGGGCAAACATACTCCTGTGAGATAAACAATGAGCGGTGGCTTACCTTTGTGTGGTCTCTACCTTAGAGGTTTCAGGCAGGGATGAGAAAACCAGGGGCTGGAACCTCTTCCAGTGCATTATTCCAGGAATTATGTCCTGTAATGAAAGCCAGCACAGGGTGCTACATGTAAAGGAGCCGTCTGGTGAGGTGAAGTCCAAGAAGGACTTCCATTTCATTCAGCTGTGACTGTTCTGTCCTAAAATTTTAGCTCCAAAATGTATCATTTCAGTAAGTTTGATTCAACTTTTCTGAAGCTAAAGACAACCGCTCCAGCAAAGGGCACTAAACAATGCAACATGGAGTTAAAGTGGGGACAAAGGAGAGTTTTTCTTCCCCCTGTTCATTAGGCACATAAGCAACATGTCCTGGGGATGGAGGGCAGATTTGGCCTTACAATCTGTTTCGATTATTGTGAATGGGATGCCAATGCAACATTCAAAGAGGATGGGACCTGCATCAAATGGCATTCCAGGCAGGGGAAGCACGAGCGAATGCATGGAGATGCAAGGAGGGTGCTATCATGAGATGCCAGCTCCCAAAGCTGAGTGCAGGGTGTGTAATGGGGGCTGACGGGAAATGAGGCTGGAGAGGCAGGTTGGTCACGAAGGGCCTTGGTGGCCAAGCTAATGAGCTTGCAGCTGCTCCTACGGAAAGCAGGGACCACTGAGGGCTTTCAACCTAGAAAACAAGACGATCAGATTTATGTTGAAGGAAGATTTCTAGGGAGGGCTGACTGCATGGTGGGGGGCCATGGAGTGGAGTAGAGGGAGCGTCACAGGCTGTTCGAGGCAGACTGGGGGAATCCAGTGATAGTCAAATATGGGGAATGAGGGAGAGGAAGGGCTCAAGGATCACGTAGGTCATGGTCATTGCACAAGTCACAGATCGAAAAGGCAAGGAGGTAATACAGGAAGAGGAGGCAGTTTGAGGTGTGGTCGGCAGAAGTGGGTGGAGATAATGATCTGAGTTAGGGATTTATTGAATTTGAAGGGCCTGAGGGCAACTGCCAAGAAATGGCGCTGGCTATTCAGGGCAGTTTGGTGATGTAGGGGGAGAAGGAATTCTTTGGAGCCTCTTCCTTCCTGTGCATTTGTCATATCGCCACCTTGTCCGTTCTGCTATGTCTATAAAAGTTGAGGCCAAAGAAAGAGGAAGTGAGACCATAGGGTTATGCCCGCCATGTGACTGTTTTTACATGGTTGAAATACAGATAAAATGAATATTAGGCGTAGCCTTCAAGGGAAAAAGAGTGAGAAAGTTGAGGAAAGGGCAACGTGCAGCCTGGGAGGTGGGTATGGGCAGAACAAGAGTGATGCTGCGTCTCCCACCCATACCCCTGTAGGGCTGACGCTGAGTGTACACAGCCGCCATTGTTACCATTCCTGTTCTGCAGCTGTGGCTGCAAACCGTCTTTCTCAATTCCAACTGTGACCCTCCATCCTTGTCCCCTGACCTTCCCTGCAGCCCAGGGCCAGCCCTGCCAGCGAGCCTGGTGATGGCGTTACCGTGTGATGGAGAAACTGCCTTTGGGTGAGAGGAATGCTGGACCCATCGTGGGACTCCTTGGTGACCTTGTACTTGGGGTGAGAACACAGGTGGTAATCTGTCAAGGTTTCTGCGTAGGTCAGAGGGTGCTTCACAGCAAATACTCCTGGACTGGGATTCTGTAGAAGACAGAGAGGAAGAAAGATTCTCTTCTGTTGACCAGTTTCTAAGCCAGGCATAGGACAGGCGTCAGCTACAGCTCTCGGCACTAGCACCAACACTCTGATTCCATGTCGGGCTCGTCTGAGAAAGAGAAGCAGGGGAGCAGAGGGGTCTTCACTTGGGCAGCAGTCACAGCCATTCATAAATGTCCCTTTTCTGGTTTGAGCTTCATGACATACTACATGGGGTTTACTAAACTCACGTGGAAACAAGGACAACTGAAATCACAGCTTAAAACGGCCTAAAGAATTTGTTTCTAAATATGATGAATTAAGGGGATTTATTAAATAAGCAAACTGGTTTTAAAAATCAAATAAGCTTCTGGTTTTGAAAACAAAAATAGCTTCTTAAAAACTAAATGGAGGACAAGAGGGTGACGTTGGATATCTCAGGAAACGTCAACATTTCACATTGTTTTGATCATGTTTTTCCTTCAAGAAGGCTCCATTTGGATGTCGGATCTGATGTTAAGGGAGAGCCTGTTTTTCACTAATTTTCCAGCAGAGGTAATGGAGGCACAGGGCAATTATATGAAAATACGAAAATATAGAACCTTTTAATGTTCCTTCCTGGGCTTGTCCGACAAAAACCCTATTCTTGTTCCAAACGACAACATAGCTTTTGCCCTCACAGTTGTTTAATTTCAGATGCTTAAGAACCATTAAGTAGAAATTTTGTTCTTTTTGTTTGTATGTTTTTAAAAAACTTTTTAAAAAAACAATAAAACTCCACACGGCTTATGGAAACCCAGTCTCACTGCCAAGAAACAAATGTCCCCTGCAATTTAAAGGAAATGCAGCTTGACCAAGGAGCATTACAGCACCCAGGCACAAGAGCTGGGAGAGCCCAGGTGTGGTGTAGGTATTCCGTGTGCTCCATTCAGGAAGGCTGGGGAGACCGTGAGCTCTGAGAGCAGAGAGGCTGGCTGAGTTAGGGCCTGGGAGAAAGACAGGGGAGGGCTCTTGCCTGAACTCACGGATATAGAGCAAGGAGAAGGGCAGAGAGGCAACGATGGCCACTGAGGGGTCTGCAGTGCCCACAGTCATGCAGAAAGAAGCAGACACCTCGATGAGCACCTGCAGGTGAGGGAAGGTAAGGGTACATATATATATATATATATATATATATATATATATATATATATATTTTTTTTTTTTTTTACAACAGCAGATTCTTTGCTGCTCCTCAAGCGCTGCATGGGGTGGGAACAGAGACAGAGAGAATGTAAACATTGGGTTCCACCCCCTGAAGCTCGAGAGAAGACCCTTTACCCAGACAGGGGCTAGAGGGTTGGAAGGGAGCAAGGTGAAAGGTGGGCCCCAGGTGAGCCAAAGCAGGGGAGGCCTGAGGATACCGAGGCAGGAGGGTGGAGAGGAAGGACAGCAAGGGGGGTGGTGGGGGGGAAGTGGGGACAGCTCCTGTTCCCGTGCGTGTCCCCTTAAGTAAGCTCTTATGGAAGGAGAACCAAAGGATAGAAGCAGAGCGAGCGCCACCTCTGCCCCACCAGGCCCACCAGATCCTCTGTCGTAGTCACAACACATCCAGAAGTAGAGCGAGGAGAGCCTAGGCCCCCAGCCAGGAAGTGGGGAGACAGGCAGGACTGAAGAAGGGAAAAAGGAACCCGGCTCCACTTCGGGGTAAAGGGAGCAACTGGAGTGTAGGAATCTGAAAACTGCTCACCGCCATCACCAAGAGTCATCCCTGTGGTGACAAAAGGCCAATCAGCACAGCATCTGGGAAGGGATCCCAGAGGGAACTGGGGCAGGAGTGACAGAGACCCCAGCTGGGCCTAGTCATGGTGTGACTGGGAGGCAGTGTGAGGGGAGGGGGCTGGCCACGCCCTATGAGGGTGGTGATGGGGCAAGGTGCACCACACCAGGGAGGGGAACGAGCTGTGGCCTCCAGGAGTGCCTCCTACTCTGCTTGATGGAGGCTGGGTGATGTTGCTGTGTGGCCAACTGTCTTGATCTGCCTTGGGCCAAGTGTAATGAATGACATCTTTTTGGAAATGGTAATATCACTGTCTCAAAGAGTTGTCATACTTCAGATCCCCCTGGGTGGCCATCGCTACCAGAGTAAGTGGTCTGAGTGGTCACCCCATGATTATTTTGATTTGAATTTTCCTCAAACTAATGCATGCATACAGTAGCAACTCACCCACGCTGGAAGGATTAGTGACGAAAAGCAACAAGGCTCCTGCAGGCCCTTCCTATCCCCAGGCCCACCCAGAGGCTGTTTTTTCCCATTATTTCTGGGTTTTGTGTCTGTGATGGTGACTATTCTAACTCTAAACATTATGCTTATTTTTCCATCTCTCAATTATCAACCTCAGATAATGCCAGTTGACTCTTTACTAAGCAAGATAAGGATTTTGCTCATGTACACAACTGCTCCTTCCAAACGTCTTCCTCCCAATTTTGAAAATTATATTATAATTTTTAGTCCTGCTGTTGGTTATCTTTGTGACCTGAAATGATGCATTTATACTCCTATTTCTTGTTTCCTCGTCTTTAGTTGAGTATTTCAACTCCTCCTCAGGTAAAATGAAAGCATTAGCATTCCTACACTTTCTTGTACCTTTCCTCCTCTCTTCCACAATTTACTTTTATATTATTGAGATGATTGACATTTGCATTCTGGAACCACACCAAGACCTTCATAACTGTTGTTCATAAGCTGTCTCTAAAAGCTGAAAACTGGTAAATGGCATTTATTTTGTCTTAATGGTATAGATATGTTTCTCTGCCAGGCAAAGAAAAGGCTCGTACTATAGTTTTTATGTGAAGCTTCAATATCATGGTCTGTGGGTCACTGAGAGAGGAGAGTTCTAGTATCAAGAACCCCAAAATGGGTTCTATATTTAAAAATTTTCCAACTCTTAAAAAGCATGCCAAATTTTAATTTGTTTTTCTATTTGGAACACAGACTGATTTTTAGTTGATTTTTCCTCCTGGAGTTTATAATGGCCTTTTTTTGCTTGAATGACGTGCCTTTATAAGATCCTCGGGTGTCTCCATCCTTCCCACTGCACTGTTCATGCGTGGAGCACACCCTTCCCTTGACACCTCTTTCCCAGAGCCCTTCACCCTCTCTCCTCTGAGCTTAATGCGCAGATATCATCCAAGACTTCACTATAACACTTTACCAGTTGTAACGGGGATATCTTTCCTTTTACTTTTGTTTCTTTTCTTAGGGTTTCAAATTCTTTCTTTTATAGCTATATTGAGATATAATTGATATACAATAAATTGGACATATTAAAAGTATATAATTTGGTATGTTTGACATATGTTGCATCTGCAAAACCATCACTGCCATAAAAATAACGAACATCTTCATCACTCCCCAAAGTTTCCTCTTGCTCCTGGGTAATCCCGCCAGCTCTCCATACCATCCACCCACCCAAGCCCCAGGTGGACATAATCTGCTTTCCGTCTGTACAGGTTACTTTAGATGGTCTAGACTTTTAAATAAATGGAATCACATAGTATGTATATTTTTTGGTCTGATTTCTTTACCCAGCATAACTATTCTGAGAATCATCCATGTTATTATATGTATCAAGAGTTCACTCCTTTCTGTTACTGAAGAATATTCCATTGTACGGTAATACCACAATTTGTCTGTCAACCTGTTGATGGACACTTCTTTCCAGTTTGGGGAACATATGAAGCTGCTGTGAATATTCCTGTACAAGTCTTATGCTTCCATTTATCTTGGGTAAATACCTAGGGGCAGAATGGCTGGATCATATGGTAGGTCTATGTTTACTACTAACTTTTTAGTTTGTAAGAAACTGTCAAACTTTTTTCTAAAGTAATTGTACCACTTTACATTCTCACCAGCAGTCTTTTTAATTTTAGATATTCTGACAGAGGTATCCTATTATGGTTTTAATTGACATTTTGCTACTGATGCATTATTTTGAGCATCTTTTCATGTTGTATTTGCCATCCTTTGATGAGATATCTGTTCAAATCTTTTGCCCATTTTAAAATTGGGTTGTTTGTTTTCTTACTATTGAGTTTTGAGTGTTCTTTATGCATTTTAGGTACAAGTCTTTTATCAGATACGTGATTTTCAAATAGTTTATCCAAGCCTGTGATTTATCTTTTCATTTTCTTAACAATGTCTTTAGAAAAGCAGAAATTCTTAATTTGGACAAAGTCCAATTAATCCATTTTTTTTCACTTATGGATTGTGGCTTTGACGTTGTATCTAAGAAATCTTTGTCTTACCCAACGTCACAAAGACATTCTCCTATGTGTTTTCCAGTTTAGGTTTTATATTTAGGTCTATGATCCATTTTGTGTTAATTTTTGTAAATGGCATGAGGTACAGATTGAAGTTCTTTTATTTCTAGTTATTTTTATTTTTGGTAAATGGATATCCAAATGTTCCAGCAGTATTTGTTGAAAAGACTGTCTTTTCCCCAATGAATTGTCTTTGACCTTTGTCAAATATCAGTTGACCATATATGTATGAATGCATATATTTCTGGATTCCTTATTCTGTTTCACTGATCTGTTTGTCTCTTTTTATGCCAATACCATACTGTCTGGAGCACTATAGCTTTCAAATAAGCTTTAAAGTTAGGTAGTGTAAATCCTTTGACTTTATTCTTCAAAGTTGTTTTGGATATATTTGCATTCCATATAACTTTTTGAATAAATCTGTCAATTTCTACCAGAAAAGCCTGCTAGCGTTTGATTGGGATTGTGTTGAATTTTTAGATTAGTTTGGAGAGAACTGGCATCTTAACAATGTTAAATCTCCCGATCCACCCACATGGTATATTTCTCCATTTATTTAGGTCTTCTTTGATTTCTCTCACCAATGTTTTATAATTTTCTGTGTATCAGTCATATATTTTTGTCAGATTTATCCCTAACTGTTTCATATTTTTTGATGCAATTGTTAAGTGAGATGGCTTTTTAAAATTTCAATTTTTGATTGTTGCTAGTATTTAGAAATATAGCTGATTTTTGTATATTGATCCTGTTTCCTGCAATCTTGGTAAATTCACTTATTAGTTTTAGTAGATTTTTGGGTAGATTCATTGTATCTTCTACATAGATAACAGTTTTGTTTGTGAATAAAGGCAGTTTTACTTTTTCCTTTCAAATGTAGATGCTTTTTCTTTCTTTCCCTTGCCTTGTTGCAATGGCGATAGTTACAATCTTGAATAGAATTAGTAAGAGTAGACATCTTTGCCTTATTCCTGACCTTACAGGAGAAGCATTCAGTCATTTACCATTCAGTATGATGTCAGCTCCAGGTTTGTAATAGATGCCCTTTATCAGGTTGAGAAAGTTCCCTTCTGTCCCTTACTTGCTGAGAGTACTTATCAGGAGTGCTGTCAGATAATTTTTCTGCATTTGTCGAGATGATCATATTGTTTTTCTTTTTTAGTCTGTTAATATGGTGAATTACCTTGAGTTTGGAATGTTAAATTAATCTTGTATTCCTGGCATAAGCCCTTATTTGCTCATGATACATTACCCCTTTTATATTATGATGAATTTGATTTGTTAAAATTTTGATTTTTTTTTTTGCATCTATGTTCATGAAGGATATTGGTCTATCCTTTTCTTTTCCTGTAATGTCTCTGTCTGGCTTTGGTTTCGGAGTAAGACTGGCTTCTAGAGTGAGTTGGAAAGTAATCCCTCCTTTTCCATTTTCTGGAAGATTTCTTATGGATTTGGTATTATTATTTTTGTGGATTTTGTACTACATGTTTGAGAGAATTCTTCAGTGAAGGCATCTGGGTCTGGAGTTTTCTTTGTGGGAAAGTTTTTAACCACCAATTCAAATTCTTTAATAGAGATAGAACTAGTAGAGTTATCTATCTCTTTTTGACTAAGATTTAATAGTTTGTACCTTTTAAGGAATTTGGCCATTTAACTTAAGTTGTTGAACTTATTGGCATAAAATTTTTCATAATACCAATTTATTATCTTTTTAATATCTGTAGAATATGTAAGGATGTCACCTCTCTCATTCCTGATACTGGTAATTTATGTCTTTCACCTTTTTTTCCTGATCATTTAGGTACAGGTTTATCCATTTTATTGATATTCAAAGAACCAGTTTTTCTCTATGGTTTTTCTGTTTTCAACTTTATTGATTTTCAGTATGATCGTTACTATTTCTCTTCTCTGCTTAATTTGGGTTTCGTCTGCTCCTTTTTCTGAGTTTCTTAAAGGGTTAGTGAGGGCACTAATGTGAGACCTATCCTCTAATGTCTTAATTCCCCCCCAAATTTTTGTGTTGTGCTTTCATTTTCGCTCAGTTAAAAATACTTTCTAATTTCTGTTTTGATTTCTTCTTTGGACTATGGGCTTTTTTTCGCTTGAGGAAGATTAGCCCTGAGCTGACATTTGGGCCAGTCTTCCTCTATTTTGTGTGTGGTTCACCACCAAAGCATGGCTGATGAGTGATACAGGTCCGCGCCCCAGATCCGAACCCATGAAACTGGGCCACTGAAGCAGAGCACGCTGAACTCAACCACTAGGCCGCGGGGTTTGTCCCTGTAGGCTATCTTAAAGTATATAATTTAGCTTCGAAATTTTGGGGGGATTTTCTAGATAGTATTATGCTATCCATTTCTGATTTAATTCCATCAAAGTCAGAAAAAATACTTTATATGATTTGAATCTTTTCAATTTTATTGAGCCTTGTTTTAGGAACCAAAATTTGGTCTATCTTGGCAAACCTTCTGCGCACATCTGCAGAGAATCTGTAGTCTGCTGTTTGGGGGTAGTGCGTTCTTGCAGCGTCAGTTAGGTCAAGTCGATCCAGAGTGGTATTTGTCCGTTATGTCCTTACTGATTTTCTGTTTACTTCTTCTACCAATTATTGAGAGAGGGGTGTTGAAATCACCAACTATAACTGTGGAGTTGTCTATTTTTCCTTTGCAGCTCGATCCGTTTTTGTTTCAGGTACTTTGAGGCTCCAGTGTTAGGTGGGTAAGCATTTAGGATTGTTGTGTCCCTTCGATGAACTGTCCCGACCTTAGGTTCCTGTCCTATACAGAGCAGGTGCGCCCTGAGTATTTGTGGAATTAATCAATTAATAACTACTGATATTTTCCAAGGAAGTATGAGCGTGACTATGGAACATTCCCTTAACTTCTCCACACCAGTTTTCTCACGTTTAAAATGGTGAGGGAGTGAGAGTGGGTGGGTCTGGGGGACAGGAGACTGGAGAGTGGTTCTCAAACCTTGCTGTGGGGAACCTTGGGTTTTGCAGGGTCGTCCTCCTCAGGGGACACCCTGAGGGAAGTGGAGGGGTGGAGAGAGCAACTAGGACTTTATTTTATGTATTGCCTTTCTATGTAAAATTTTGGTGGATGAGAGGGTTCTAGGCTAAATGAAATTTGAAAATCACTGAGTTAAATGTCCTGTGAGGTGGTCCCGGCTCTAAAATTCTCTGTCTCTGGGAACACTCCTCTCAACCAATGAGCCTATGAGAAAATGCCATGAGACTAAGAGAAAATGCCCCCTCGTGGCCAAGACACACACAGCGCAGCTGTCTGTAGGAAAGCAGCAGAGGGCAGAGGAAGAGCCCCAGGCCAACAGCCAGGAAACAGGCAGGTGTCTGTCCCAGCTCTTCGCGAACTGGCTGAGCACCCCTGGGTGTGACTAGCAGCATCTCTGCCCGCCTTAGAGATCCAGATTCTCATCTGGAGAGCCTCACAACGGAGACTTTCTCCAGTAGCATCTAAGGTCCTTAATTCTGTGTGCATGCGTGTGTTTGCCCTTAGAAAAGCAGACCAGGGGCTGGCCTGGTGGTGCAGCAGTTAAGTTCACATGCTCTGCTTCGGAGGCCTGGGGTTCACTGGTTCGGATCCTGGGTGTGGGCCTATGCACTGCTTGTCAAGCCATGCTGTGGCAGGGGTCCCACATATAAAATAGGGGAAGATGGGCATGGGTGTTAGCTCAGGGCCCACCTTCCTCAGCAAAAAGAGGAGTACTGGCAGTGGATGTTAGCTCAGGGCTAATCTTCCTCAAAAACAAAACAAAACAAAACAAAACAAAACAAAACAAAAACAGACCATGACTTGGGCAACTACTGTGGCATTTCACCGATGACTCCATTATTAATAGAACCTCATCAGAGGTCCAGTCTGGCTTGCAGTCATTTAGGATTTGAGTAGGTGGAAATAGAAGGGTAGAGGAGGGGATCCATGAGGGCAGGTCAGCGTAAGGGAAGGCATGGTGCCGGGAGGGGAGCGCACAGAGTGTGGCAGGGACGCATGAGGGGCGCAGGGAGAACGTGGTGTTTATTGCTGGCCTCGCAGTCAGGAGCTGGGACTTAATCTGTAGAAAATGGAGAGTCAGTGAGGAGCGCTGAGCAGGACGGGGGCCTGGTCAGGGTGTGCTTCAGCGAGGCTAGCCAAGCACAGGAGCAGGAACGAACCAGAACAGAGGAAAGTGGGCGGCAGAGGGGCAAACGTGGAAGGGACATGCCACCCAGGGATGGACTGAGGAATCGGCAAAGCTGCGGGGAACGGAGTTCGGGTGATTTTAGTTTCTTTTTCTGTTGTGTTTTCTTTTCCCTTTCTACTTTTTAAAAAACTTTCTGTGTGTGTGTGTGTGTGTGTGTGTGTACACACATATATTCATAGATATTCATATTCATTACATATACTTAAATATTATACATAATTAGAAAGATCATAAAGCTACTGTAATAAAAATAAATGCTGGCATTTTTAAAAGATAGAAACACTGATATTCTCCAAATAATAAGTGCTGGCAAGTAATTTCAAAGGAGTGACATATTGTTTAACATTTGAAATTCCAAAGAGAGAAAAGTATTCCCAATTAATGCTTCTGTTTTCTTACAAAGTAACTGCTGAAGTCAAGAAACGTGGAACACAAGCCCTCTGCCGATTGTCACTTACAAAAATATAAAGCGGGTCGTAGTCTGGAGAGCTGGCTAAGGCCTCTGGGGGTTTCATGCTCAGGACCGAGGTCTTGCCGGCCAGCTGAGGTGCGGCCTCCTGGTTCGGCAGGGCTATGATGGTGGTGGCTTCATCCTGCGCAGGGACCGAGAGCGGCGTGTTAGTTTTGATGCCAGGACAAGAGGGGAAAGGTGGGCATGACTCTAGAAGGCGGGGCTGTTACCTCAGCTCCTTGCTTCAGGGCTCGAGCAAGCTTTTGAGGTCTGTAACTTGTGGAAGACTTCTGGACACAGAATGGCTGATACCCCTTGATTTTGTACAGCTCAGGAACCTGAGGGCGAAAGGAGACGGCTGACTGCATGTCCTTAAAAGCCCGTCACCGTTTAGGGGGATCTACTTCTCAACAGCGTTTCTGAGCTGCCTGACGGTAAAAGGAAATAAGCGCCATGTTGTAACCATCACATCGTGGCAGTTACCACTTTGGACCAGCCCTGGAGGGACTTTAGTGCAAGTCCTGAGCCCTGTTCTGGGTCCCAGCACACACGAGCCTTCACAATTACCCTCCCACAGCATATGGCTTAACTGCAGACATACACCAAACACTAGTTTGTCCATTTAAAGTGTTTATATTCTCAAGAGCAGAAGTGGTCACATACCTCAAGATAGGCTGACTAACTTTTGTTCACTATCTTGTGTTTTTCTTAAAGTTTCTAAGATGTGAAGTTCAGATAGCTTCATGTATGCATAATAGAGGGTATAATCACAGAATAAAGACCCTGGTTTCCATAAGCCACGCTGGGAAAAAAGAATCTGTTATACCTCACACATACCGTAAAATAACAGCAGAAAAATACACACAGTATTCCACACAGTATGATCTGTAATGGAACAAAACTAATAAAATAATGCAGTTCAGATCAAGAATATTTTGTTCACTTTATAAGAAACCCAATTAACTAATACCATACGACAGTTCTGACCTGCAGCTTGAGGAAGGAATAACTCTGCTTGATTGGAATTTCTGAAGATTTGATTGGGACCGGGCCAAGGCCGTCGGGAGCCTAAAATGTGAGAATTCCAAAAATTGACGCATAATCAACATTGAGCAAAAGTGCCCATGCTTCTATTTTCATACATTTCCAATATTAAATGAACAGCTCTGCTCTCAAAGTGCCCCTTCCCACCACCACAGGTGCTGCTTGATGTGTGGCGCCTGGAGGCAGCGTGGCCACCCCTCTTCCTCGTCTCTTAGTGAACGTGATTCTTCTTTTTTATTTTCTACTGTTGTGGACACTGCAACATGCCGCCCAGAGTCCCCTTCGGGCTTCAAGGATTTAGTGCCCCAGCTGCTAGGAGTCCCGTTGGTAGAACAGCTCCCAGGGGTCAGCCCTCCCCAGGAGTTGCCTTGGCTGAAGGGAGCCGCCTCACTCATCACGTGCCCGTCCTGGGCAGCCCGTCTCCAGTGACAGGTTGAAGCGAAGGTGTAAAGGCCAGGTCCTCTCGCTGTCCCAGCTTCGGAGCCCCTCAGGAGTTCAGCGAGGCCTTTGTCAGGATTGCCGCCCTGCGTCGCTCTGTGCACTCCTGCCCCCGCCACGTCCCCTCCACAGGTCCCATCCCAAAGCACTACCTAATGACCCTCCTGCATGCTAATCTGCTTGGACACCGGAGCACCTGGACCAGCGCCTGACATTTTATGGGCATTCAATAAATACGGTATTTCACCTAATCTAAGACACCATCATTAAATTAGTAGGATACAGTGCTAACATGCCATCAATTATAAGACATCTCTCAATTTCAAAGATGCTAAATATGAAAAAAGTGATCTTAGAATCGATGAAATATAGTATTTATGGAACTAAAAAATTCTTTATAGACAAGAATGCTGAGAATTCTGTTTTTCATCAACCCTGAGCAACAGAGAAATCTTTACAGAACTAACTAAAATATCAAGTGAAATGTGTAAGCTTTGAACTATACCAAAACAAGGAGCTGGGCCCACAGCACAGTGATGCTCTCTCTTCATCCCTGCCATCCTGTCCACTCCGCTAATTATTGACTGCCAGATATTTATTATTGCTTAAAAATCACAGATTTATTTTTTCCTAGGAGCTAAATATTCTGATCTTTTAAGTTGTTTAATTATCTAATGCAAAAAACACATGGAATTTCTAAAGTCAGTTCTGTAACCCTTGAGAGGATTAACCTGCAATGCTTAACGCACCCGATAGGATGCGAATGGCAAGTTTATTCTTTGAAACTAAAAGAATTATGTTGTATATGCACTTTCAGTATCAATTTAAACACAATTTTTATTGCTAACTACTGAACTTGGGCAACATTTTATTACTGGCTGTGTGACCTTATGCCTCAGGTTCCTCCTCATCTGTAGATGATAATCTTACCACGTAGATTTACTGAAGAGGAAGTCAACTGATACAACTGAAGCATTAAGACACTGCCCGACTCATGGAAATGCAGCGTAAGGATAGCTACTGCTTTTCCTATAATGCATTAGTGCCCCATGGGGCAAGCGGGATGAACCGTCACGCCTCTCGCCACTGAGAGACACAGAGAGAGAGAGGGAGAGAGAGGAGGAATTCTGAGTCTCATGGGTTAGATTGTGAGATTCTGGGGCCGTGTTCCCTCATTCCTAGGTCAGGTCATGGACCTGGGGGCTGCCCTTCTTGGCCTCTCCGTCAGCTGAGCAGGGCCTGTCTCCCGGGGCCAGGCCAGGCCGTCTTGTTTCTCTGTCTGCCCGTCTGCTCTCAGGCCCGGTTCCCAGGCAGTCAGGTGGGGCTCAGGGCTCTTGCTGGGTTCCAGGCCAGGAAGGACCCAGCCCAGTTTACCCAGGAGCTCTGCACAGGTGTATCAGGTGCCAGGCAGGTGGCAGTAGCTGATCTCTGGTTTCCCATTGGTCACAATTCCCTGGGCACAGGTCTCCCTTGGGAGCCTCTGAGGACGAGGTGAAGGGACTGAGCCCAACAACTATCTCTGCCTCACAACCATCCGATCATGCCCGGGCCCCACCCCCAGCCTCGCAGCACCCACCAACTCGTTGGAGTCCTGAGGAGCACTGTGGGACGGGAAGGCGAAGGGCAGGACTTCCTTGGGCGACACCGAAAACCGCCTGGAATAATCGTCGTGACCGATCAGCGGCAGAAATCTGGAGGGACTCTTGTCTATGGGTGAAACAAACAGCACTTTTGGGGCGTTCTTAAGGCATTTCTCTGTGAAACCACCGTCTGTGGTTGTGTATTGAATTAGTGGGTACTTGCCACACAGCATTTCCAAAAGAATATCGATGGATGTACGTATTAGACCCATTTTTAGTTTCTCTTTTGTTCTTTACCTCAACACCCTCTCCAAATTTTTAAAATTTTATTTTACTTTTACTTCTAAAAAACAATAATTCCAAATGAAAGTATCTCTGATGAATATTCCCTGTCCTCATCAGCAAAGAAAAAGATTAAATTAAAGGAGCATATTGAAGACATTTTCCAGGTATCCAACATACTTCACAGGTAAATGTTACAGTATTTTTTTAAAAGAGTTTCTTTATTAGAAACTTGAATACCAGAGACAGAAATAATAAAGGAGGGAAAAAAGAATAATTAAAATGCAATAAAATGTTAGGAAAAACAAAATACCCACTGGATCTTAAAGGAGAGGAAGCAGAGGGGAGGGGGTGCTGCTGGGGACCGAGGGCCTGAGCCTGAGGCCCCCGGGCCCCTCCTTCCCTTGGGGCTGTCTGGTCTTGCTCCCCGGCCCTGGTTTGGGGCACTACCCATGGAGGAGGGATGGGGTCCTGCTGGTGTGTCCGGACTGAAGGGCCAGCCCACTGCCTGTGCTCTGCCGGGCTCCCAGCACCCCCGCCAGCCCCCACCCCCCATGGTGGAGCTCAGCCCGCCCCCTTGGCATGAATGGAAGTCTTTTCTTGCCTCTGATGATGGACTTAATAAACAGCATGGACTAAGTGAAAAAAAAAATTAAAATCAACACAGTGCTATGAAAAACAAAGTACCCCTCTGGGTCCTGAAGGAGAGGAAGCGGAGGAGAGGGGCTGCTCCTGGGGGCAGGGAAGTGGAGCCAGGCTCGGGGGCTCAGCTCGGGAGGGGGGAAGAGTGCCAGAGGATCAGGGCCTGCCTGTGCATCTGCACACGAGCCACCGATGGAGAATACGGGACATGGCTTTTGGGCTCCCAGAATCTACTGAGAGTGGGTGTCTAACAGCCCTGGTCACCCTGGGGATCAGAGGATGGGAAGTTCTTTAAGTAGCAAAGATCATACAATATAAAAAACTTTATGTGCAAATGCTAGATTGAGACAGATGCAGCCAATCGACAGTATAAATGATGACTATCTTATTCTCTCAGGTGACAAGAAAGAACAGAGGGCACAAAACAGGAGGTTGAACCACCGCCACCCTTCAATGAGATTACAACTTGGTCAGGTCGGTTGACCCTGCCTACTACCAAGTGGGCAGGTATTTCAGCCAAAGCTGCCATGGAGGTCTGATTTATGTCATGTGGTGGGTTGAATAATGGCCCCTCCAAGGTGTCCCCATTCTGTTCCCCAGAACCTGTAACTACGTCACCTCACATGGTAAAAGGGACTTTGCAGATGTGATTAAGTTAACGGTCTTGAGATGGGGAGAGTGTCCCAGGGAATCCAGGTGGGCCCAGGGTCATCACAGGGTCCACAGAAGAGGGAGACAGGAGGGTCAGCGTCAGAGAAGGAGACGTGACGACTGAAGCAAGAGGTCAGAGTGATGCGAGGAAGGGGCCACAAGCCAAGGAAGGCAGGCGGCCTCCAGAAGCTGGGAAAGGCCAGGAACAGACTCTCCCCTGGAGCCTCCAGAAGGAACCAGCCCTGCTGACACCTTGACTTGAGACTTCCGACCTCCAGAACTGTAAGATAGTAAATCCGTGTTGTTTTAAGCCATTATGTTTGGGGTGATCTGTTACAGTACCCATAAAAAAAACCAATGCATTTGATTCATGAAAATATTTTATTTCTACACAGCTAACTTCGTTATAAAGAAACCTCGTGCTCAGAGGACTTACTGGTCAAGGCGTTGCGATTCTTCACAGCTGTACTTTACCTGGTGCTATTGACTGTCGTCCTTTAGTGAGCCTTCTGAGGATGGTCCCTTTGTCCATGTCATGAAAAGCACTCAGCATACTGAGTAGTCGTTGATGAACCATGATCTGGAATTAGAAAGAATGATCTCAAATTATTAATTGGTACATGCTCATTTTGGCATTCAATTTAACTCACTTTCCCCAACCACAACTAAGGGCTGAGGCCACCACTCTAAGTCAGAATTCACAGGGAGAGTGGCACGCTGCCCTAGGCTGAGGCCATGGGGACGTCAAGGTCTGGGTAACACTGACCTGCCTGAATACAAAAAAAGACCAGGTTGCCATTTGGCCTTGTCCCACCCAATTTATGAGCTCTGGTTTTCTCTATTTCCAGGGTGGAAAGAATGACTAGTTCTACGTTCTTTCTTTTCGGTACATCTGAATAGTAACGCTCCCGCTGTGTTAGCTGCAGAATTGAGGGACAAACTGAAGGGGTGATTCTGTAGAAACAGGGCTCTGGACTTTGGGCAGTGCTCAGCGTACACCACTGTGCTCTGCATTCCGAGCAGATGCTACTGAAGGTGAGCGCTCCCTGTGCGCAGAGCTGTGGCTGAGGGGACCCTTCATGCCATGATTAACACTCCTTTCCATCCTGTAAAGGTCTCTCTTGTTCAACAAATATTATCAAGTGGCTACTGTGTGGCCAGTTCTGTGCAAGATCCTGGAGATACAGGAGGCAGACCACGTGCTGCCCGAGGGAGCCGATGTTCCCGTGTGTGTGTGTATGGGTGGGGGTGGGATGGCAACAGACACTTGACCAAATAAACATGGTGAACGCCATGAAGAAAATAAAAGACAGTAAATGCATGAGGGCATGACTGAGGGGCTGAAGGGGGTCGGACTGGCAGGGATGATGAGGGAAGGCCGCTCGGAGGAGATGAGCTTTGATCTGAGACTTGAAGGATGATCAACGACGATGATCTTGAGAAGAGAGTTCTGGCCAGAGGAACCAGCAAAATACAAAGATCCTGATTCAGAAACCAAGGAGATGGGTTTAAGGGACAGAAAGAAATCCATATGGTTGTGTAGGCTTGATAAAAATTGTGCGTCTGATTCTAACTGCAATGTGAAGCCTTTGGAGGGTTTCGCCAGGGGAGAGGTATTACCATCTTCAAGCTTTGGGGGTACTACTCTGGCTGCTGTGTGGGGACGGGAAGCAGGAAGATCTGTTGCGGTGGTCCAGGTGAGAGATGAGGGGGTGGCTGAGCTGAGGAGATGGCTGGAAGTCATCAGGCTGGGACTATATTTGCACACTGAACTGACAGTACTTGCTGGGGAGTGTGAGCACAAGACTGAGCCATCACTCAGAGCGAAGCATGTAGCTGCGGACGGTACTTTTTTCAAGCTGGAGGGTTTGCTCCAGAATGTCCAGGGTGGTCCCATTAGTGGGAAGCCAGCCCGGCCAGTCTCTTGTTGCTGTTTGCCCGTTGTTGGCAGCTGTGCTCTCTTCTCTCAGAGCACAGCTTCGTGCTGCCTCTTTGCACCACTTTTCTCCTCACAGTCAGCATCTTGCGGCACCTCTGTTCTGCATATACACAGAGCCCACCAAGACTTCAGCAGGGATGCGGGTTCCATGGGGCCTTGGAGGTTGGTGAGCAGGTCACTGATGCAGCAAGCTCTGCCTCTGCCTGGACCGTCAGCAGTCCCGGCTGAAAGCGCTGCTGGAAAGATCATTGGTACCATAAACTTTGGAGTCCCCTGTACGTATTCACACATTTAATCCTCATGGACAACCCTGTGAGACAGGTCTTACTGTCATCCTCAGTTACAGATGGGGAAACAGAGGCCCAAGGTTATGTAACTTGTCCAAGATCAGAAAGCTCCTAAGAAGTAGCACCAAGAATTAAGGGCGGGCAGTCTGGCTCCAGAGTCCAAGTCTTTACCACTGCTCTCCCCTGCTTGAGGGGCAGCTCTGCCCACCGAGGGAGCCACTCTAGTGGCAGGGACAAGAGATCTACAGGCAGCATACGATGCAAGAGGCACCACAGAGATCGCTAAGTGCTGAAGCTTACAAGGACTGTTTCTTGGAGGAAAGGTAGACTGCGCTGGCTCAAAGGACAGTCACTGACAGATGGAGATGGAATGGCGTTTCAGCTGATGGGCAAGGGGCAGAAACCACAGGTTTGTAGCAGGGAATGAGCTGGTGTGTTTGGAAGAAGACAAGGACTGAGACAACCTAGAGAACAGGAGGCAGCTGGAGGGGGTGTGGGTGCAGCCAGACCAGCGGCTCACCTTCCACCCTTTATTGGCATTCAAGGCTAAGAGGTCATTTTATTTTGATCACAGGAAGCCACTGGAGGCTCACAATGTGCTGGGTGGAAGACCAGAGTGAGGGTGAAGAAGGCACAGCAGTGAGATGACACCGTGAAGGGGAAGCCATAAGCCTGGATGTTAGAGACAGGATTCCACAGGAATTCTCAATTGTTCTTTCCAGAAATAACTGATCAACATCCAATTGTTCTAGAGTTACCATATGACCTGGCAATTCTACTCCTAGATATATATACCCAAGAGAATTGAAAACGCATGTGCATAAATTGTACACAAATGTTCACAGTATCATTATTCATAACAGCCAAAAAGTGACAACAACCCAAATGTTTCCAAGGATGGATAAACAAAATGTGGGACATCCATACCTCTGAAAACACATTAAGAGAAAGAAGCCAGCTACGAAAGGCCGTGTGTGTGTGATCCTATTTCTGCCAAATGTGCAGAAGAGGCAAATCCACGGAGGCAGGAAGCAGACGAGCGGTGCAGCGACTGCGGGAGCGAGAGGCTGCTCGCGGGAATGCGGGTTCTTTGTGCAGCGATAAAAATGGTCTAAGGTTAGACAGTGCTGCTGTGAGTACACTGAAAACTACTGAATCGTCCAGTTTCCAAGAGTGAATTTTATGGCATGTGAATTATATCTCAATAAAGCTGTTATAACAACCTCACCGTTCAATTTCCTTGTGCTGATGACTAAACACATTGCGGTTTCAGTCTGGTCCTGAGACTTACCTTGCGGGCTGCTTGTTGAAACCGTCGTTGCGCCCTGAACCTGTTGACCCAAGTATTATTCGTGAGTGGATCAAAACTGGGATGAAATTCCTCGATTTTCTGTGAACACAAAATATAGACACATCTTCGATTTAAATTTTAACTCCTGGCATAAACATTTAATAAAAATGTTTTAGAGTTTGATCCCAAATCAAGTTATTATTTATTTGTCCTGCCATTTAATGAGCATTTATTAAGCACGTTTAGTGTACATAGCATTATAGGGAATGCTTCTTGGGTTGGGGGTCAAAAGTGGAAGACAAGATTTGGGTTTTAAGAGATTTACAGTCTGGTTAGGGAAGCTCAAGGAAACACATGTGACCCTGAGGAAGAAGAATAAAGACACACAGAAACCAATGCCACGCTGGGGGTGCTGGCACGGCATCCAGAATTGAGAGCAGCGGGCTGTGGGATCCTCGCGGAGAACGAGGACTGTTTTGCTCAGCCCTGCACCGAGCACCAGCACAGGCCTGCGTAGGGAGTGCAGTGTGCGTAGGTCAGTAAATGAACGCAGAGGAAAGGACGCCTGCCACAGCCTCAGGCACTGGAGCTTCTCGAACAGGGAAACGATATGAAGGAAAAGGCATCAGAAGGGAACTCATCTCACGCTGGCCCACGCAGCGGGCTGGAGAGGAGAGGGAGGAGGGGCGGATACAGGAACAAACAAGCTGTTGGATTAGCTGAGCGTGAGCCACGAAGGCCGGGCTTGGGTGTGGCCTGTGGAAGAGCTACGGCCAGACTCCGTGGCCAGACTAAATGCGGGAGAAGAAAAGAGGTGGAAATAATTCAGATGTGGCAAACCCAGAAAAGAACAGCGGGAATGATGGAGGTGGGGGAGATTAGGAAGAATTGCTTCATTGTTGAAATTAAAAATTGGGGTTTTAACCAGAAACTATCATATGACAGAGATGCTCAGATGGAGGGGCTACTGTCCCCATTCTAGGTTTGAGGACACTGAGGCTTCAAGGCTAAGAGGACTTCTCCTAGGTCCCAAATCGGTGGCAGAGCTGGGACCAGAACTCTGGCTTCTGACCTCCTGTCTCCTATCCTTCCCACAAGGGGACCGGGCAAGGAACAGAGGCCCAGGGACCCACCAGGAGCACCCGCAGATGGGCTTGCAGAGCAAAGGGAAACAAAAAAAGAGATCCAGAAGGAGAAAGTAGAGGGGTGGAAAGGAGGAGCCAAAGTATATAATGCCGTTCATTTCAAGGGAAGCATTAATTACGAATTTTGATGCTTTACTCGCAATACGTAAGAAAAAACACTCTGCAAGTGTAAGCATATTAAAAATTATTAAATGTTTCTTGGTACAAGGATTTCTATAAAACTGTTTAGCATTTTAAAAATAAGCATATAAAGAGCTGCCAATAATTAGATTTCAAGGAAAGGAAAGTTACCCACTTCTTCCAGATTGCGAACAACGCGTGTGTGGTTAACTTCTGTCTTGAGTCGCTGAAATTCCTCATCCAAAACAGGATCTCCTCTATCCAGCTGGGTTTTTAATCATCAAAAACATTAAAATTGAATACAAGTGTACCAACTTTATTTCTCTTTAAAACTGGCAGAAACCAATTAAGCAATTGGACAAACCCACCCATGGAGTTCCCGTTGGGAGTGGCGGTGACGGAAGTAGGTTATAATGATCGTTATGATCACACTTACTGTTTAAACATAGGGACTTTCTATAGAGGCACAAACCCAATACCTTCTTTTTGTAATTAGAGGACAATGTCTCTGGAAATGATTTCTGAGGCATTTAAAACTCACAGAAAGGATTTCAGGAAACCATGTAACCATGGGAGTATAGAGCTTTCATTTAAAAGAAACTTAATGTCCCAGTGAAGTTTTAAGCCCCTCTGAGCTGATTATCCAGATTGTAACAAAGGCACGTGGTTCCTCCCCTTTCCCGGTGGTGGATGGGGTCTGTCTCTTCCCTGGAGTAAGCGTCCCCCAGGCTACTCCCTTCCCCCATGGCCCCTGAGCTCTTTCCTCTTCCCCAGGGGTCACGGGTCAGTCCCAGGAAGGTAGGCTGGGCCTGGGTCAGTGGCGACACCCTCATGCCTCCATGGAAAAGGGGGCCGTGCACACTGCAAAAATTTGTTAGCTTTTGTCTACCTGCGGTTTTTCATATTTGTTTGTTAGGTGACTTCTAAAACTAGCTTGGCTCTTAGGTACATTGTTCACAATCATTTTTAGAGACTTTACTGGAAGACATCTATTCTGATCACCACATTAACACCCTATTCAGAAGTAAGAGAGTTCTATTGTTGTCGCCGAGGTGAGGAGCTGTCTAGCTCTGATTTGCACATATCAGGAAGTTGAGTTTGAGACCGTGGACCTCAGGTTCAAATACAGATTTCATGGGGAGACACTCAGACCACACCCCACAGCTCCCCACTAAAAGCAAAATAAAACAGGCAATTTAAAGAGGGATTGGCAAAGAGGTTGTTAGGTAGAAGAAAGAGGAGGGAGATTTCTGATATCTTTATCAAGACTCTACTCATTTATAATGAACATCTCAGAATTTAGGATTATTGACCGTCTCCTCTGAGTAAAAGCTCATTATCCTCGAGGGTTTGTGCTGTCCAGCTACAACTGCTGTACTCCCCCACATCCTCCATCCAGCTCTCTTTTTCTGGCTTTCTACCATATGCCTTGGGCCTCCAGGTTTTTCTTGCCACTGGGCCACCTGCCGGGATTCAGCAGCCAGTAAAATCTCCCGGACACACAGTCAGGTCCCTGCAACACTTGCTCTCCTACTACGCTGGGGCCTCGGGGTCCTGGTGAGTGACGCTAAGGATGTGATGGCTCGTTTCCAGCTCCCCTCACTCACCTGTGCAAATGCTCACCACTACCCCCAGCCCCTCTCCAGTCCCCGTTCAGCACAGTCTCTGCAGCTGGCCTTGCTTCCTGGATCAGCCAGAAGACAAGGCCATGCACAGCCTTCTGCAGGCCCCTCTCTGCATGCAAACCTGACTGTACCCCGAGTTCGTCCTTCCTCGGTTTCTCCAGTCCTTCCTCCTGTTCAGACACCATCTTTCCTCTGACCATGGCCTCTTCCCAAGCTTCTTCAACCTTTTCCTCCGTGATTGCTCTTTGCTCTCAGCCTATAATGTGCTCAAGTTCATGCAGCTTAAAAACCCCTGCCTTGACCCCTCACCCCGCAATGGTCCATGTCATTATTCATCTCAACTTCTCAACTATCGACTCACATCTACACGTTCCTCAAGCCATTACAATTTGGCATTTTACCTCCACGAATCTACTGGAATCGCTATCCCTGAGGCACACAAGGACCTCCAAACCACCCAATCCAAGGTGTACTTTTCAGGCCTTATTGTCCTGGAGCCCTTGCACTTGACTGATCCCTCCCCGGCTGCTTCCTCTGTGTTCTCTGGACCTCTGACCTCTGACCTCCCTGACCATTCCTCTCCTGTCTCCTTAGTGGTCCTGCTGCCCTCCCCTTAAGTAAGAAGTTCTGCAGATTTCCTGCCGTGAGCTGCTGCCTTTCCCACACTATTCATGTTCCCCAGGTCACCACGCTTGTTCCGTGCTCTCAATCTCTACCTCGATGCTGCGCACTCCCAAGTCTCTGTCTCCAGCTCTGTTCCTTCAGCCGCCACCTGGATGTCCCCAGTCACCCCAGATGTAACATGTCCCAAATTAAACTTTTCATCTTCCCCTTAAGCCAGCTTTTCTTCTGTCTCTGAGATTTCACGTAAAACCACCACCACGCACCCAAGCTGCAAACCTGGGCATCACTCTACCTTCTCGCTCTCCTTACCCCTCACCTCCCATTTATCTACAAGTTCAACTCTATCCGTGCCCTTAGCACTTTAAATCCTCTCTTAATGTTGCAGCCCCTTCTGGACTGTGACCTTCTCGAGGGCAGAGACCGTGGCTTATTCACTAGCACAGAATCTTCCATACAACGGGCGTTCACTAAACGAATCAACGGCTGGGTCTGCCTGTCAACCAAACGCTGGCAGTTACAGCCTTAACTCACACACTGACCTGCTCTGCCACGTCTGTATCACCTTCATCTTGAAAACAGAAAAAATCATTCCCTCGTGGGGCTGAGGAAAATACTTGATATTTTGTTTTTAAAATCCCATGCAAAGAATCTGAACAACACATCACACTACATTTAAATGCCAATCTAATATGTGCTTTTCCTGAATGCTACGATTTACCAATGTAATGATTGTATATTCTTTTGCTTGTCTTATGAAAACTAAAGAAAATAAGACAGATTTATTCAAATATCTTATTTGGACTCCAAATAGGAAGAAAAATGTATTCCATATGAGAAATGCATTCATATCTGACAACAGAGTGTTGTTCCCCAGCCCCTCCTACCCCTGCCCGCGTGTGCAGCGCCGAGTGTGGGAAGCTCACACCCCCAGCTTAAATCTACGTGTTATGGCTGAATTGTGTCCCTCCAAGCTCCATATGTTGAAATCCTAACCCTGGTACCTCAGGAGGTGACTGTATTTGGAGATACCGTCTTTAAAAAGGTAAATGAGTTAAAATGAGGTCATTAGGGTGGGCCCTAATCTGATGTGACTAGTGTCCTACAAGAAGAGAAAGGAGACAATGTGGAGGCACTCAGTCATCTACAAGCTAAGAAGAGAACGGATCCTTCCCTCACGTCCCTCAGAAGGAAGCCACTGTGCCAACACCTCCATCTTGGACTTCCGGCCTCCAGAACTGTAAGGAAATAAATCTGTGTTGCCTATGGAACCCAGTCTGTGGTGCTTTGTTACTGCAGCCCCTGCAAACTAAGAAATATGTGATGGTTCCACAAATCCTACCAATTAACTCCAAGCCCCTGTGACACGAAGCCCAAGCTGGATCCTCTCTCCTCTGCCCCATGTGTGTCGTGTGCTTCAGTCCTTATGGACCTGTCCCCAGTGTTCTCTGCACCCGTCCTGCGTGTAACAATGTCTCTCACGCCACGGTGCGCCCAGGGGTTTCACCCAGTCCCCCAGTTCCCGCGTCCACCCTCCCTCTCCCTGAACTTACAGGTGCTGCCTTGGCGACCCAGGTACGGCCCCTCCCTCAGTGTTCCCCTTTCTGCTCAGCCCCTTTGAGCGTCTCTGACTTGGAACTTGTGTGTGTATCTGGTGCTGGGGTGGCTCCTGGTCACTGTCTGTGGGTCTCTCTGACCTTCACGCTTTGCAGATCATGGGACGGGTGCACCTCATGCTCAGAATTCCAGCCCGAATTTGAGCCTTTCCCTCCCTCTGAACTGAATTCCTCTCTGTCCTCTTTACTACTTTTCAAAATTATACCATGTCCTCCAGGAAGCTTTCCAATTAGATGACCTCTCTCTCCTCTTTGGATCTGAATCCCCACAATGCTTAGTAGAGGGCTCTCGTAACACTTACAGCAGCCTTGATTTATGTTAACAACTAACTTGTCATCAGCCTTCTCCCCCCCCAACTAAACTAGAAGTTTTCTTCCTCTTGACATGGCATCTTGCACGTAACAGGAATTCAAAATATTCAGTGAAATAAATGATTATCAAATTAGCAGTAATTCTGACCTTATATTTGGTGTTTACTCTTTGCCGCTCTTCAGTAAGGTCTGTTTTAAATTTAAAAGACATTTGATCTTTACCAAGGTTCACTTGCCTAGGGAGAAAAAAACCCAACTTTCAGAACCCATCAGAATACCATCGTCAACTTTAGGATGGAGTGTCTTAGCGATACTCCACCACTGAAAAGGGAGGCTGAGATATCAGAGAAGACACCACGGGGGAGAGACGTCGTAGACACTTCAACAATATAACCAAGATGAACAAAGTGCTCTGCAAAAGGAAGCTTATCTTCTAGTGACATGCGCTAAAATATTTGTGAACAGAAAATCTTGATGCTCAACATCATCAGACATTGGGAAATGCATATCAAAACCACGGTGATGCACCACTTCACGCCTACTAAGATGGCTACGATGAGGAGGAGGATGATACTAATAACAAAGGAAAGTAACAGGTATTGCCAAGGATGTAGAGAAATTGGAACCCTTGCACACTGATGATGGGAGTGTAAAATGGTGCAGCCACCATGGAAAACAGTTTGGCTGCTCCTCAAAAAGTCAAACATGGAGTTACCATGTGACCCGGCAATTCCACTCCTGGGTATACAGCCAAAAGAACCGAAAAGATATGATCACACAAAAACTTGTAATTAAATGTTCATAGCAGAATTAGTTATAATAGCCAAAAGGTGGAAACCACCCAAATGTCTGTCAACTGATGAATGAATAAACAAAACGTACTATGTCCACCCAATGGAATGTTATTCCGCCGTAAAAAGGAATGAAGTACTGACAGATGCTACGATGTGGAACAAACTTAAAAGCCTGTTAAATGAAAGAAGTCAGTTACAAAAGGCCCTATATTCTGCAATTCCATTTATATGAAATGTGTATAGTAGGCAAATCTATAGAGATAGACAGTAGATCAGCGGTTGCCAGAGGCTGGGGGGAAAGGGGACCGAGGAGTGACTGCTTAATGGGCATGGGGTTTCTTTTTGGAGTCATGCAAATGTTCTAGAACTAAGTAGTGATGATGGTTACACAACATTGTGAAAATACTAAAACCTCTGCATTGTACACTTTAAAATGGTTAAAATGATGAATTTTATGTTATGTGAATTTTGTCACAGTTTTAAAAACTCTGGTACTTAATGTGTCTATCATGGAGCCTGGTGCCTGTTCAAAATAAATAGGTAGCTAGGATTTAAAAAGGGGAGGGGGTGTCTGGAGAGCTGGTTCAGATTAAAGGAGACTAAAGACACATGAAAACCAAACACAAATTGTATAATCCTTGATTGGACCCTGGATCCCTCCTCTCCAAAGACAAAAAGCCCAGGTAAAAAGAGCAGTATTGGGACACCTGGGTAAATTTGAACGTGGCTGATTATTTCATATTGTATCAATGTTAAATTTCTTAGAAGTAGTTACGGTAACGCTGGAGCACGTGCTGTTCTTAGGCTACATGCGACAGTCTTTAGGCTTCAAGGTATCGTCAACTTACTTCAAAAGGTTCAGGAAAATAAAAGATGTGTGTGCATCTATGCACGCGTGCACATATGTGTGTACACGTAGAGAGAGAGGGGAAGTGTATGTGGCACAAGGTTAATAACTGAGGAAACTACGTCAAGCGTATATAGGTGTTACTTGCAGATTTAAAATCTTTCAACAGAAAGGGAGAAAATACTAAGTGAACAATCCAGCATTCGAAATTGAATTTAGGATGTGATTTCAAGTATGTTACAAAAAAGCATAGAAGGAAGGAAATATACCAGTGTTGACAGTGATCATTGCACTATAGTGGTTTTTTTCCCCTCTCTATACTTCAAAAAAAAATTACAATATTTAAATAATTAAAATACTTATTTAAAAAATAAAAAAATATTTTTCAGGTTTTCTACAATGACAATGTGTCCATTTTTTATAACAGGGAAAGAGTATTTTTTAAATGACCTTGAGTTACTTGGCATACTTGAGGCCAGACCCTGAGTAGAGACCCACACTGTCGCAGAGGGAAATAAAGGGCACGCCCTCGTGCCAGCAGGGTGACAGGGTGGGGGACACCTGGGAAGGCCCTGAGCTCAGGGCAAGTTCTGTTGTCTGGGAAGCATGGAGGCAGGGGCATGGATGAGGCAGCCTCTCAAAGGCCTTTCCCAGGAGTCTCTTTTTTAGCTCAATTCAAGAGTGTTTCAAGTTTACTTTCGCTGAAACTGTACACACGGATACGCCTGGTATGATCTGGTAAAAAACTGTGAAAAGGGCTCCACTTTGACTGCAGGAGCCAGGCTCCCCATAAGGCCCTTGGGGCACACAGCACAGGGCACAGGGGGCTCACGGTGGGGCGAGATTTGGGGCGCCTGCGTCACCCAGCTCTGTCCTGGAGCAAGAGGGGTACTGGCAGCAGTGGCCAGCAAGGAGCAGTGTCCCAGCTCCTCCCACAGTTCACTCTGATTCTGCCACTGTCTGGTCACACTGAGGAAAGAGCATGGTTGGTCACATTGATTTATTCCTAACAGAAACTTCATTCTGAAACACAAGGCCGCGCGGAGGGGAGAGAATAGTCAAATTTTCGAAGGGCATTAAAACTCATTACATTTCATTGTGCCTTAGGTATAAAACGCCATTACTAAAAACATTGCACTGTCACTTGATACAAATCATTGCTCAACACTTACCACTTAAGGTGATTTTTGATCTCTTCATAAGTGTCCCGTCTGACTTTCTGTTCAAAGAGTGCTTCCTTCATCTGTCTTGCCCTTGAAATCTCATTGCCTTGGTCCAAAACTGAGGGAAGGAGCAAACAATGATTATACCAGTAACCAAAACACAATCGTTGGCCGAGAGAAAAACAATTTCTAACAGCAAAACCTCAGAGCGCCCTGACAAGGTTGTGTCTCGCCCATAAACAGCACACGTGACGAGCAGTAATCCTCTCCTATTCTGCCCAGGGGCTGACTGACAGTGGGCCAGCTGGGTACCTTCTCTCAATTCTTTAATCTTCAATTTTCCTGGTTCTTGGTTTAAAACGGTTGCCACAGCAAATGGATTTGATAAGTCTACTGGAAATCTCAAGTTCTGATATTCAATTTCCTGGGAGCAAATCAGGAGGGAAACTCGTTATTCTGCCTCTCCGTCCCTCCCTCCATCCTGCTCAGCACGGAGCCCACCTCACCTTATGCTTTGGAGGCTTCGTCCGGGCTGGCCGTCGGTGAAAGTTTATACGTGTCATTGCCTTTTCTGGAGGGATGTCTACTTTCTTAGAAAGAGCATTCAGCCTTTTGAATTCTTCTAATCTATAGTTTGAGACAGATATTCAATTAGTATAGAATCCAACTACTCAAGGCTCCTATTTTTGTGTTCCGTCTGATAATGCCATGACTTACAGTCCATTAATTACTACAGCTAAGCTGAGAATCAAGCTGTGTGCTAAAACCGGGTCAATTAAAAGAAACGCAATCTCAGTCCACCAGAGTGTAATCACGTACATCAAAATAGCCCACCAGCGGCTCCTTTTCCTTAGATTCTCAAAGAACAAGTGGAAAACATGACAGGCTGAAAAATGCTCTCATGGGCTAGCATAATTTACTTCTAGGCTGTCGGTTTTCAATAGCTAAATTTAAGAAAATCTTGAATGTAAGACCTGAAACCATAAAACTTTTAGAGGAAAACATTGGCAATAAGCTCTTTGACATCGGTCTTAGCAGCATCTTTTTGCATACCATGTTTACTCAGGCAACAGGAACAAAAGAAAAAATAAACAAATGGGACTACATCAGACTAAAGCGCTTCTGCATTTTAGCAAAGGAAACCATCAACAAAACGAAACAACAACCCACCACCTGGGAGAAAACATTTGCAAATCATATATCTGATGAGGGGTTAATTTCCAAAACATATAAAGAATTCATACAACTCAACAACAACAAAAAAGAACAACCCAATCAAAAAATGGCAGAGGAAACGAACAGACATTTTTCCAAAGAAGATATACAGATGGCCAACAGGCACAAGAAACGATGTTCAACATCACTAATTATTAGGGAAATGTAAATCAAAACTACAGTGAGATATTATGTCACACCTGTCAGAATGGCTATAATTATCAAGATGAGAAGTAATAGGTGTTGTAGAGAATATGGAGAAAAGGGAACCCTCATACACTGCTGGTGGGAATGCAAACTGGTGCAGCCATTATGGAAAACAGTACAGAGATTTTTCAAAAAGTTAAAAATACAACTACCATATGATCCAGCTATTGTACCACTGAGTATTTATCCAAAGAACATGAAATCAATAATTCAAAAAGCTATATGCACCCCTACATTCATTGTAGCACTATTCACAACAGCCAAGACATGCAAGCACCCCAAGTGCCCATCAACTGATGAATGGATAAAGAAAATGTGGTATGTATATACAATGGAATACTACTCAGCCATAAAAAAGTCAAAATCGTGCCATTTGCAACAATAAGGATGGACCTTGAGGGTATTATGTTAAGTGAAATAAACCGCACAGAGTAAGACAAACACTGAATGATTTCACTCATATGTGGAAGATAAACAAACACAAGGACAAGGGGAACAGATTAGTGGTTACCAGAGGGGAAGGGGATGGGAGGGTGGGCGAAAGGGGTAAAAGGGCACATACGTGTGGTGAAGGATGAAAACTCGACTATTGGTGGTGAACACAATGCAGTCTACACAGAAACTGAAATGTAATAATGGACACCTGAAATTACAGTGTTATAAGCTGACATGACTTCAATAAAATAACTGAAAAAATCTTACATTGATTTATCTTCCTAGTAAAAGAATGATTATGCCCACTGTTTGTAGCAAGATCTTGCAAGAGTGATTCAGACTAATGTTTGAGACTTTTTCTGTAACTGAAAACTGCCTTTGGACAAATGTAGGTACAGACAGTGCTGCTGACATCCCTATAGAAGCTGCTGGAGTTGCTTATCATGAGATGCAGTAGAACCAAGTTATGTTCCTTAGCGTTACCCACGAAGCATTTCTTTAAGCAGGAATATGTGAAGACTTGTGTTATAGGATTACACAAGTCCAGGACGTTACAGAAATAAGAGAAGGACATACTTCCATGCATTCGTTCTGACGGCATCAATATGGTCAATATGCGTTTGCTGAGCACCTACTGAACAGGCCCCACTGCCCGAGGTGGGCGCTGTGCCAGCAATCCCACATTTAACATGGCCCGTGTAAGAGCGTCCTGAGAGGCCCACGGCCTTTGGGGAGACACACACTGACTGACAGGCTGTGCTGAGCAGGGAGGAGGCGCTTGGTTGGGGAGTGAGCTGCGGCTCAGCATCCGCATCTCAGCAGAGTTCCCACATCCCCTCTGCTGTAAATAGTAGGAAAAGAAAAAGTTTCTGAGGGTGTTAAAAACCAGCTTCCTTAAGAAATCTAACTGCTAGTGCTGACGATGGAAATGAAGGGGTCTGAACAGTGATAAACTAAAGAGTCACAGGTGGAATTTGGCGGTGCCGAATTTAGGACGCGAGAAAGTCCAGCACACACGCTCTTCTGAAATGAGGAAGCAACCTAGGAAACTTTCAGAGAACACTGCGGCCAGGGTAATTTTGTCCTTCTGGTGGAATTTATATGTTCTAGTACTATCTGCAGTCTGGGGAGACACGCCCTTGAGACATAGCCCTTGCAAATGACAAGAGGGCACTAAATAAGATGCCAAACTCTAGCTGGAAAACCAAAATACAATAGCTTAGAAATAGCATACGCCTGTGTTTGCGTGGTGCTCCTGCCACACAAAGCTCTTCTGTATTTGAGAACACGTCGATGCAAGGACATATAAGCAATAACCCCACTCGAGAGATGTCTCTAAGAAAGCCATTTGCGTATTGCAGCCCATGACATGAGATGGCAAACAGCATTTCGCTCAGCCAGTTATCTGACACCAGAAAAATTAGAGCTGTTTTGTATTTATATCCAATGCTCCCTGTTTACTGCCTGAGTGACTTTATTTCTACTACGGTTACTTGCAGGATGTGGGTTCACCGGGCCATGCTAATATCCTATAGTTGACTTAGGCTGCTGTGAATTTTGAGGAAGAAAATAATGATACAAACGTATAATAACTCATAGAGTTAGTTCATATTTAAGGTTGTTACTTCACTTTTAATATGCCTAATGATGCTGATATGTGATTTGTATGTGTGTATGAAGGGAAGAGGAGGAAAATCAAAATATTTCTTTATCATTTTCAAAATGTTTGTGAGGGTTTTCCAAGATTAGTATTTATACAGTGATAAATTCTCCTTTTAATTTTTATAAAAATAATGTATATTAAACAAACATTAACTTGATCCATTAGTATATAAAAATACAAGCTCACATTCAAATGGAAATAGAAGTTCAGAAAAAATTTATTACAAAGTAAAACTTAGTCCCATTTCACATCTTTACTCTGACTTGAAAGCTAACGATGCTTTAAAAAACACTCCCATGGGGCACATTTCCATTTTCACCTTATGTCCAGGTCACTTGTTACACATGACTTCATTTGGCCCCTCTGTTGTGAGTATCTTCAAGGTGTGGACCATTTCCCATGGGGCTTTGCAATGGTCACTGCAAACAGCAGGCACTCAATTATAATGTTCTATTGGAACTTTGAAAACAGTTATGTTGTTCTGGCCTCATGATTTAAATTTTTGAACCAACGGTAATGCATACATATGGTCAAACATTCCAACAGCACACTGAGAGTAATCAGAGAAAGAAAGTAGCCCTCAAAACCCCTTTTTCTCTGTCATCTCCTCCCCTCTCGGCAGAAGCAACTACTGCTACAAGCATAGAGAGAGTCTATGCATCACCATTATATATTTTTTAAAAATTTTTTATTGAGTTAATGATAGGTTACAATATTGTGAAATTTCAGTTGTACATTATAGTCTGTCATTCGTGTTGTAGGTGCACCCCTTCACCCTTTGTGCCCACCCCCCATCCCCCCTTTCCCCTGGTAGCCACTAATCTGTTCTCTTTGTCCACATGTTTAAATTCCTCATATGAGTGGAGTCATACAGAGATTGTCCTTCTCTATCTGGCTTATTTCACTTAACATAATTCCCTCAAGGTCCATCCATGTTGTTGCAAATGGGATGATTTTGTTCTTTTTTACGGCTGAGTAGTATTCCACATCACTATTATATTTTAAGGTGTATTTTATAAAAGTTCATCATCTTAAGTAAGTTGCTGATGGCACTCTGTTACAAGGAAGAAAGACAGAATAGAAGAAAGGAAGACTTGGATTTTTAAAAACGTTTTAAGAATAAACCAAACATCCCAGAGCAGCCATACTTCAGAGCCATGTTGGGACAGCATGTCCCCGTGAAGACACATTCGTAGGGTTGAGAGTTGAACTGTGAAATCCATAAGTGCATTTTCATTTGTGCAGTGCCATACTGAAAGGGTGTAAACTTCACAGTCACGTTCATCCTCCCATTAGCTGGAATTATTCCTGGAAGGAAAGAAATGAGAAAACATGATACTTTCTCTCCTTGCGAAGTCTGGTCAAAGAGGCTGACACACACACACAAACACATTCTCCCCATGACAAGCACAAGCATTTCTATTATCTTTGTATAGTCTTTTCATTAAATACACATGAATCAACTTCTGCATGTTTACACTGATCTCATTTACCAGTTACTCCATTAGTGCTTTACAACAATCATCTGATTGTGTCAGTTACACAAATACACATATCAATCAGCATTAATGAGTCAGCAACGACTTCCCAGAACCACAATCTTTAAGCTAATTGCCGGATGTCAATGTTCATGCTGTAAGCAGCAAGGAAAACCTAGGAGCACACATAAAAGTTTCTGTGCAAATAATCGAGTTTCCTATATTTTTCTGTAATTTGATTCTCTCCTTTCAAATCTTCAGGATGGACTACTGTTCTCTCCAGTCACATATCCTACTGCGCCGTGTCCTTCCTTCGAATCTCTGGTGCCAACGGAGCTTGGAACACAGTTAGCACTCGAAAATGTGGAAAGGAACAGCAAAGAGAGGAAGAGAGAAAGGGAGGCTCAATGTAGGAGACACAAGAAGGACTGACGTTCTCTCTGACCTCCACCGAAGGCTCTTTGGTTTGCCTTCTAGATGGTTCCTTCTGCCCCCGTGCATCTGGTCTTTCCACTGTCCCTGCAGAGACCTTGCTCATTCCCTCATAAATGCCCAGCGTCCACTTCCTCCCATCTACACCCTCCTCTGAATTTTGTACTGCTCTCTCCCTGGCTCTCTGTGCTCAGCCACACGGACCCTCCATTCTGCCATCCAATATTCACTGAGCACTTACGGGGTGCCAGGCACTGTTCCAGGCACTCAAGATACAGCAAGAAACAAAACAAAGTCTCATGGCGTTTACATTCTAGTTGAGGACAGCAAAGAAAAACAACCAAACACAGAATATAAAACATAAATGTGTTTTGAATACATGTGTCATGTGTCATGAATACCAACAAGAAAAATAAAGCAGGTGGGGGGAGATGAGCACAGTGGTAAGCGCTAATTAAGACAGGACGAAGGGACCTGAAGAAGGAGAGGGGCCTTTGTGCAAATCCTCAGACTTTGGGCTCCTGCTGCCTCAGGGCACTTGCTGTTCAGCCTACAGAGCCCTTTCTCCAGATCTTTTCGTTTTTTCATCCTGCTCTCTGAAGTTACCTCTTTACCGTCTGCCTTCCCCTGGATTCGAATGTGAGTTTTACAAAAGTAGGTGCCTGCTCATTACTATGTTCCCAGCTCAAGAGACACTTGTTGAATAGTGAATGAACCCAAACGTCAAAGCCTACGTCACCTGCGCGTTGCAGGAACTCCTCCTGACTCTCATTCACAGAAGCCCGTCCTCCCTAAACTCCTGGCAGCCCCACAGTACCCTGTGCTACCCGAATCGCTGCCTCTCAAAGTTTCCGAGTCTCCCAAACGGATTACAAGCCCCTAAGGCAGACAGAGCAGACAGGCCAGGCCCCAAAACTCTTTCATCTGCCCGGATCCCTAGCACAGAGGCTCAGAAACAGGTATTTGTCCATATCTGAGCGCAGATGTCAAAATCTTTAGAGGACACTCAGGAGCGACCTGAGAGCCCGCTGCAGAGAGAGCGCATGCGCAGAAGAGCTCATTCCATCTGTCAACCCACCCTCAGCCGCGTGGAACTCCAGGATGCACTGAGTTCAATACCTTGAACACCCACCTGGTCAGAAAATTCACCCCTCTGACCGGCAATTCACTGGGGGCTTTAGGCTGAGAACATTCTATTGTTTCTGCTCCAGCTCGTTAACTTAAAAAAAATAAGAACAAACTCCGGAGCAGAGATTAATGTTTGCCTTGACCTGGTTGATTTATTTTAAGTGCTCCCAGCCCAGACCTAATACATAAAGCGCACTGGAGTGCACCCCAGGCAACCGGAGCACGCTGCTTTTTCCATTAACAGAGATCAGGTTAACACGACTCTGCTAACGAACATGGTCGCAGCTGATTGTCCAATGTTAACAGCTATAAAAGCTGTGCCAAGCAGTCACCGCTTACTGCCCGGCAAACACTGATGGTGGGAGGAAGGAGAATACGTTTCATGTCTCAAGAGCGAGAAGGGCACCCCCAGAATGACCACTTTATTTTAAAAAACTCAAACCACGATTTTATGGCTTCAGTGCAATTTCGCCTGGGATCAATTTCGGATCACTACCCTTAACACACCAGGGATAATGTGAAATCACAGGGCAGGGCGGGTGGTGAGGCAGAGAGAGGGGAGAACAAAACTTAGAAATAAACTGGAAGCTAAGAAAACCCTGGTTTATCCATAAAATGAGTATTATGAAGAAAATGTGACAACACAAAAATGCTATAATGATAAATGAAGTCACCAGAAAATACCACTGTATCTTTGCCTTATCACAGTTATGTAAACCGTGCATAAATATGGGCAGTTACTAAGAGGAGAAGGAAAAATAAAAGTGCGTTATTTGTTAGAGCAGTAAAGCCCAGGATGGGGATAATTTTTAAAACTTTCTTCTTTCGGGGCTGGCCTGGTGGCGCAGCGGTTAAGTTCACACGTTCTGCTTCATGGCAGACCGGGGTTCACCAGTTCCGATCCCGGGTATGGACATGGCACCTCTTGGCAAAAGCCATGCTGTGGTAGGCGTCCCATATATAAAGTAGAGGAAGATGGGCATGGATGTTACCTTAGGGCCAGTCTTCCTCAGCAAAAAGAGGAGGATTGGCAGTAGTTAGCACAGGGCTAATCTTCCTCAAAAAAAAAAAAATTCTTCTTTCTTACATGCCCCTACATTGTTATTACAATATTGACATAATTTTTAAATAATGTTTTCTTCAGAAATCTCAGAAAGCACAGATCATTCTCCCTAAATTGTCACAGAGCCATTTAACCTACGTGCTTGAAGTGTTAGTAAGGATGGGTCTTCATCTCCCAAGATGTAGGGTTGCACCAGCTGGGTGAATTGGGGTAAACTTCTTAATCGCTCTAAGCCTCAGTTGGGAATTTGATAGCTACATGGTTTAAAAATTGTCCACGAACAAGCTGTTGACAAACTAACAGTGTTTTTGATTCACTGGATGACAGAAGGGAGGGCTTCAGGGCTTTCCATTCTGACTCACTACCGAGAGTCACATGTCACCCACCAGGACAATCGCAGGCCACCGCTGCTGCCCAGGGTCTGTGGGCAAGGAAAGGCCTCAAAGACCACACAGACCCTGCCTCACACACTTGTTTGTCCTCGCATGAGCTTGGTGACTTCGTTTGGTCACTTTACCTGAGGCTCAGTTTTCTCATCTGTAAGATGGGACAAGGCTTAAAGGAGAAAATGTACAGGGTCTGGGATAATTCTTGGCACACAGTATGTGTCCTATAAATGTGTCCTTCCCAACGATTCTGCCAAATAAAACAAGTAATAAGTTATTGTGTACTAAGCTATCATTAGAAATGTCAGGAAGAGGAGGCTTGGCCAGTGGTGTAGTGGTTAAGTCCCTGCGCTCAGCTTCAGTGGCTCAAGGGTCCCAGGTTCTGGTCCTGGGTGTGGACCTAGCACCGCCTGACAAACCGTGCTATGGCGGCATCCCACATAGAATAGAGGAAGATTAGCACAGATGTTAGCTCAGTGACAATCTTCCTCAAGTAAGCAAAAGGAGGAAGATTGGCAACAGATATAGCTCAGGGCCAATCTTCCTCACACACGTGCACACACACACACACACACACACACACACGTCAAGAAAAGGAAATACTTGTTGGAAAAACTTTATACTTGAGACATTTGAGTTCTTAATACATTTCCGGGGCCAGCCCCACTGCCCAGTTGTTAAGTTTGCACGTTCTGCTTCGGCGGCCTGGAGTTCACTGGTTCAGATCCTGGTTGCGGACCCACACACCTCTTGTCAAGCCATGCTGTGGCAGGCATCCCACATATAAAGTAGAGGAAGATGGGCACGGATGTTAGCTCAGGGCCAGTCTTCCTCAGCAAAAAGAGGAGGATTGGCGGCAGATGTTAGCTCAGGGCTAATGTTCCTCAAAAAAAAAAAAAATTAATACATTTTGAAAGAGGAAAGGAACATAAGACAAATCAAATGAAGAACACACATCACAAGAGGATGACCTCAGAATGCAGGTGGTCACCAGAGTCCTAAAGAGATTACAGACAGCATGATTTGTCACAAGAGGAGTCACCAGAATTCAAGGAAGCACTATTAGAACACACTAGAAGGAGATGAAAAGAACGTCGGTGGAGCTCAGGAAACAAGTGAAAAAAAGCAAAGGAACTGTCAGTGAGGTAGAAACTGCATCGGAAGGCACACACACACAAACACGCACATGCACACACACAGGTGCTGAACACAGAGACGTGGCAGGTAAGAATGAGGAATCCAGACAACATGAAATTATTTTAAAGAAGATAATAGATACTGAGGGCAAAGGATAACCAACATACACACATAACAGATATTCCTGAGGAAGAGAAAAGAGCAAACAGAAGATTAAAATATTCAAAGTTTTAAAAGTTGAAAGATTTCCTAAACTAATGAACATCATTTTTCTCCAGATTGAAAGGACATGGCATGTTCCGGGGAAAAAAAACAGCACAGAGCAACACCAATATATATCCTGGTAAATTACTTAACCTCAAGACTGGGGGGAAAAAAAGAATTCTAAGGGCATGCAGAATTTACTAGGATGGGGAAAGATTCAGACCAGCCTCTGGATTCCTAGCAAATTCAAAGCAGAGGGGAAGCAAGCAATGTCTACAAAGTCCTGAGGTGAACAAAGTTGCAAAGCAAGACTTTTATATCCAGTCAAGTTGTCCTTGACGATCACAGGCAGCAGAGAGATGATCTCAAACACACTCTAGGTGTGCAGCCCCTGGGAACCTGTGGTTAACAAGCCACCAGATGACAAAATCCAGACGACCAGAAAAAGAGCTGAGATAAAGAGCCTGGGCATGGAGAAAA